TCTTCACGGACTAGCAACTCGGTCCAACAAGTCTCATGGAACAGGTGCCTGCAGCAAAGACGAACTAGCGGCTCTGCATTTGCGAACTCCTCTTGGCAGATGGTGCATGTATCAACTGAGCCATCAAAGCCATCAAAACGTGAATGATTGGATGTCTCACGAGAAGTGGCAGACGGGACAGGAATTTCATGAGCAGGTTGTGGCTCGACAGTGCGAAGGGCGGCACGGACTCTTGATTCAAGATCTCGCCTTTCCTTCTGCCTTCGCTCAAGCTCTAATGCATTCATGGTCTGTCCAACTACTTGAAATGGCTGCAGTGACACGGCTTGTTTTCGATCGACGGACACGATTGACTCTTCACCTTGAGGTCGTTGGGATGGCTCCATGTTCAACAGCAGGGACGTGTCATGGATGTCTGAAATTATCTGACTTTGATACCTATCCAATGAACTTACTACGTTCTGCTGAATCGGATGCACGAACTCAGGTGGTGGCATTGGCGTTGAGCCCAAGACGAATTGGAACTCTGGCGTGTTGGCCCACAACGGAACTGAGGGCACTGGCGTGTCACGGCGATCTGCTTGTTGTCGATCTGGTTGTACTTCTTGAGGTAAGAATCCTGCGTCAGCCGGTTGTTGTGGCAATGCATCATTCTGCTGAGAACTGGCAGGCGAATTGCTTTGGGGACGTAATGGAAAAGGTCGGAATGTTGTATTCGGGGCCAATGGATTATGTGCTGACATGGGTGTCGCAGGGATGGTCCATGATGTGGTTGTGGATGGAGCCTGCCATGACATGACTGACGGGGCCGATGGCTGGAACGAAGGCATCTGAGGCATCTGTGGCATGTGTCCTTGGTACGAATGCGATCGAGTCGGTCCGTACGAGGTCGGCATGGGATACGGCTGCGAACTCCACGGATCGTTCTGTTGCAATGGATCGGCTTCTTCAACCATCAAGAACGTACCACTGATGATTCCAGGGGGGAGATCATGTGCTGCTTGGCTACTCAATGGTGCATGCGTTTCAATGAACAATGTGGTGTTGGATTGAGATCGTTGTGGACACTTGTTCACAAGATGTTCAGTACTACCACACTGATGGCATTTCATGACCTCTCCATTCTTGCCCCGGGGATTGCCTCTTCTGCCCTTGCCCTTACCGGACGACTTGCGCCAATTGCGACCTTTGGCCATGGGGAACATTGATGCAACTTCATGGTCGGACAATGATGCTAGATACGCACCGGCATTCTGGCTTGTGGATTGGATCTTAGCCTTACCCTTACCCTTACCCCCTTTCTTTCCCTTGCCACCCCTCTTCAAGAACCTACGCGCTCTCCGGGTGGGCTTGTTCATGCGCGAACGCCAAGCCTGCTTTGCACGGCTGTACGCCCACCAAAGACGATGCGTTTCGGATTCCGGCCTGGCGAACTCCTCTGGCATGTCCTCCTCATGAACGGGGGAAGTGTTGGATGATGTGTCACTGTCTGTACACGAATCACCATCGGCATAATATGCGGCTGGGGTGTCATACGGATATGGGGGAGGCTGATACGATGACGATGCATCATTGGCTGGCATTGCAGGATAATGTTCAGAGTTCGACCATGACATGTCCTGGAACTGATCTGGGCTTTGTGCCAAATTGAACCTTTGGTTGGGTCGGTTCATCGAAGATGCTACATTGCCTGGCGTCCTCTCAACAATGTGGCCCATTCGACGAAGCGCTGACTTCAATGCCTCCATACCTTGATCATCTGCTGGCAGGTTCCCATTCAGTGGCGGTGTCGCCAAGAGATTCAACAACTGATGTTCTGAAACTCCTACCGCCCTGAGAAGCAACCAACTGAGGCCTTGGGGTGACAGGACAAGATTGCCATGCTCTTGAGCCTTGATCCTAGCACCATCGAACCTCTGCAACAAGGCGTCGATCCTCTCGCCCGAATGCCTATCGAACGAAAGCAGGCCTTGGATGGCCTCGAGACGTTGTTCCTCACCAAGCCTTGCATACCTTTGGGCAAGCGAATGCATGATGAAGGTCACCGAGTCCACGGCCTGGCCATTGATCACGCCTCCATTCAAGATCACTGCTGGAGGGATCGTCCTAGCAAGCTCTCTGGCGTTGCCAGTCAGCACACTGAGAAGCGCTGCTGCCTTCCGGCCACCATCCCATTCGCTCATGATGCTCCACAGAAGCACATCACGGCTCCAATGGACGAATGGATAGTTGCTTTCAAGCTCAGGCCCCCAGCTTGGTGGCAGCTTGGGGTTGCGAGAGGAACCAAATCCGGGATGCATGAATCCGAGAACACAGCATGGGGCAACCGCTGCCAAAGATGCAGCCACATACTGGATCAAGACGATGCTCCTATCAAAGATTCCAATCAGCATACGTGTATTCATCAGGCGGCGTCCGACAAGATCCTCTTCGGGAGATGAACTGGACGCCAACAGCGTACTCTCAACAATCCCTCTGATCTCTTCCGAGATGGAGATTGAAGCGTTGGATGAATTCCAAGCACTCGAATTCGACAATGCATCCTTGTGTCGGGCCTTCAACCACCGCTTGTGTCGCCTCCTCTTGAGCTCAGCGTTCCGAGAGCCCTTCCGAGGCGATCGAGTCTTAAGGCTGGCCCTGTGATAGGAGCGAAGCTTGTCATCGGGCTTCGGAATCCTAGCCTTCTCCGCCTCGTGAGATGCACCTGTGGCATTCGAAGATCTGACCTCCTGCAACCTCCAAGATGTCTGACCTTCCACCTCACCTAGCGAACGAACGTGCCCAGGCTGGCTTGCATTGGACGAAAGCCTGGGCACTGGCTGAGACCTCTGACCTCCGGTGGTGTCCATCACACTCTCAAGATGAGACAGCCTTGGGTCTCCCCAAGACTGCCTCACCCCGAGAGTGATCAGGCTAACCACCGCTAGCACCATCATACCGACGCGGGTGTGTGAGAACATCATGATCACCTATCTATGTGTATGTAGATATCTTGATATGGATGGCTCCTATGTGATCCAGTGTCCTAGCGAGCGTCGATGGAACTTCAGGTCAGGGGCCCTGGATCCTACGCCGGGGTTACCGGCTCCGCTACCAACTAGAAAAACCGTCTAGAACGACGTGTCCGCGACGTATCGAAAGCTAAAAGCTGAACACTTGTTTTGTCGCTATGAATTATGTCTTGTGTTGGAACTTGTGTTGACCCGGGTCCGCCCTTGAACCACCATAGGATATGTGTGACATGCATAGATCATGTACCCTTCTAGTATATTATATACTATATATGTCAGCATATATTTCCAGAAAAAAACACACCTGATGAATCAAACACCTCACCTGCCCGAGTCTGGTCCTGATGAAGCAGCTTCTTTTGCTCCTGGGGCGCAGAGAAGGTGGCTTGCACCAGCTTTTTTAGGTGGTGCCAGTTGTTAAAGCGAATTACACCAGCATAGACCCCCAATTGTTGCATTTCTTTTGCGTCAACTCCTTGAATTCCAGTGTTGGTGATAACGTCTGCAGTGATATTCCTAGTATTCATATAGCTTCCAGCTGTTTGGGAATGGCAATGGTTGAAAACAAGAGTTCCCTATTCCCGAGTCACATGCAAAAACGAAGGGATTTGTGGCTGTGGGTCAAAACCCGCAGCCCCAACCTTGGTAGGTTGACCTCCCAGGTAGTCTACTCTGTTCATTTTTCGTGGTCAACCAGGGTTCCCCGGTTTTGGCCCCCAGCCATATTTGAATATAAATGTCATGAGAAAATCCGAGGATGATATTAAACTCGCACCACTGCTACGTCCATAGCCACACGAAAACATACCTGGACAAGGCGGTGCAGAAAGGGAAAGCGGCGTGGCGGCGTGGCCAAGCAGGGGACAAGGCCTAATAATTAGAGAAGGCGGTGGCAAAAGGGCCCCACATCGCAGACAAGCAGCCTGGACAAGGTGGCGCGGCCAAGCAGACCCGGACAAAGCCTGGACAAGGACAACGCAGGTCTCACAGCAGCGCGGACAAGGCCTGGACAAGACCCGGGCAAAACAGAAAAAGAAATAGGAGCAAGGACGCTACTAGGGGCTCCTGGCCATACTACTAGTAGCAAGAAGCTACTAGGAACAAGTGCATCGCTTCTAGTAACAAGTGCCACGCTACTAGGAGCAAGAAGCTACTAGGAGCTCCTGGCATCGCTACGAACGGAGCGATCGGACGCTACGAACGGGGCTCCACGGCCGCCTCGCCGGACACAGCGTTCGCGGCCAAAGGACGGAAGGAGAACAGCCAGTGACAACACGGGGGGTTCAGGGGCGCCAGAGACTGCCAAGGTCTTTTTGCCTAAAAGAGAACCCCAAGTTGGCAAAAAACTGTTGGGGGAAAAACTGTTCACAAGCATTTTTCACCAGGACAACCAGCCCAAGCCGCAAAGAAGAACAACGGTATGAGGCGCTTGAGGGTAGCTGATTGAACATAGACTGCAACGAGTCGCCAAACTGTTCGCCCAGCTGATCCCAGCTTTTGGAGGAAGCGTTACAAATTCACAAAAAAGTCCTCCAATAGTCCTCAAAGCCTCCCAGAATTCGCTGGCCTTGTTGACAAGCACCATTGCTTCCCTCGGCTTGACCTCTTTATCTGACAGTTCCTCACGTGGCCGTCACAATCTGGTACGTGGGCCCAGCCCCGCGTGTTCTTTCGATCGCAGATTTCAATGGATGTATTTGTATACACTGTGTCTTGTTTACTATGACTGTGCATTATACACCCACAAACAATGCTGGACCTGCACAAGAGTAGTTCATCATCTGACAATGAAGAAGTTCCTCAACAACTTTAACAACGATTTGAAGGGCAAAGTGATGGTTTCTCTGTCTCAGTCAGGTGCCGAACTGGACAATTGATCTGAAAACAAGCTCGGAATAATGAGAACGACTCAGAAGGGGAATCATGGAAACTGGAAGATACTTGGACTGACTACGACAAGGTTATGGGGAGGTTGAGGTTTCATAACATTCACGGAAAGGACACCCAGAGGCGACCAACACCGTACTTGGCGTCAGAGAAGAAGTACGTGGAGTATTCTTTCGAAACGAATGTGAGGTCCGTTGTGATTTCCACCTGTGAGAACTTGAAAGAGAATGGACCCTTTTATAGCGTTCTTTTTGGAGCTGTGGTAGGCCGAAGGATTTTGAAGCGATGTTGATCTCTGGGACTGTGAAATCTCATCACGTCTGCAGATATTGCCACAACACTGACGAAAGTTGGCCTGAGGGGTTGAATCGGCATCACCACTTACGAATGAAACTCATGGAAGGGCCATCCAAGATTCCTACTTCATCTGCCCGTTAGGCGCTCTCTCGCCCAAGACAGGAACCGGAAAAACTGCCAAGATCGCTGCCTCACTGGAGCTGCCACTCGCACTTCCATCGCTCATTGCCTGCACAGCCGCCTTCCAGGGCCTGCCATCGCTGATGCCGTGAGTCTGGGATGGAAATCGAGTCGATCAAGAACGGGTAGGCGGCAGAACGGCCCTAGATTTCCACTGTAGAAAGCACTAGACCGAAATCGGGTTCACACTTCTGCGCTTGCATCCAGGTCGGTCCCCAAGGCCATCAAGTCTCCTTTGCCGACGTTTAAACCTCCAGAAGGCCGAGGATGTTAGCCAGAGCGTGAAACTCCCCTAAGGAAACCTCAAGAAATCCTATACAAGAGGAAAAACATGGTTGAGGTCATTTGACAAACAACCTATGATGCAGAAACTTCGTGGAGGTCTCCAAATCAGTGGCGTCACTTTGCAGCCTGCGCTTCTGAAGACCCACACCGAAGCCCGCGCGCGCCTCGTAAGGTTGGCCTCGGGAGCTGACCGACCTCCTGGCCTTCTGACCGTTAGTGCCGTATATGCCAGGAGCCCCTAGTAGCTTCTTGTTGCTAGTAGTACAGCCAGGAGCCCCTGAGCTAAGAGGGCAAAAACCACGCAAAGAAGCACGTTCAACGTCAGTGGAAGAACCGTTCGAGGCCAGAAACTTAAGAGGTACACTCCGGAATCAGCCTCTTCGGTAAGAACCTGTGATCCCCTGACCGTGGTGGTTTGCATTCGGTAAGCAGCACCCACACGAGCGAGCCGAAATCCGAAAAAGTGCCATGCCACCAGCTTCACGCCTGTAGAGGAATCGCTTGAGGGAGCCTAGGCCAGGACGGGAGGTTGATCCCAGGTGTGGGAATTGTCTGTGCGAAAGCAGTGGTCGCTGTGCGGGTGTTTTTGCTCCTTGAACTACATTAACTACATGCTAAAGGCTCGCACAATTCATGGAACAAAGGAGCTGTTCACCAAAGCACATGATTCTTGAAGCTGATCAAAGGATTCTTGAAACGAGAATCCACGCTTGTCTGAAGACTGAAGAGCCTCCGGTGAAAAAAGAACTTCGGATCTCCAAGGATCCGAAGACAAGTTCTGAAAGCCCCCGGCCCGGACACTTGCCGAGCTACCCTCCCTTCCACTCAGCTTTCAAACGTGTAGACAACGAACGGCCGAGCCCAGCAAAAGTCCAACCTTGGGGCATCCTTAAGGTCGAAAGTCTACAAGGCAATTCAACATATTATTACACCCGTGCTTCGCATGGGCGCTGTTGATCGACGTCCACTTCCTCCTTCCCATCGCCTTGGGCCCTTTGAGGGGTTTGGTCGTCCCGCCTCCTCCTCGACGACTTGAAAGACCAAGACCTTGCCCTCATGCCGTTGAAAGAGGAAATGTGAGCCTCTGCCTTGGCGGAACTGTTCCAACAAGTTGTTTTACAGGTCGACCAGACAGGCGCTCAGGTAATTCCAAGACATGTAGGGGATGGCTGCAAATGAAAACCAACTTGATTCACCTTAGAGAGCATGTTAAGCGTCACATTCCTAAGGAAGCTCTGCTTAGTTCAAGTCCTAAGGCAAACCCACCTCCGGCGCAAGTCACATGCACATGGGTCATCTAGGACAGACCAGATTGATCAACCTTCAAACACATCTGGGCCGCATGGCATCATCCACTACGTGTGAGGAATGCCCGTGCTCGCCAAGGATTGTAAACTTGGCAACAATCGCTGGCAATGAACATACCACGCACAGCTCTGAATGAAGCCAACCACTATCGATGATCATTAGACCCATAGGACCTTCCTAGCGTCGGAGCGGCACTTTAGGGTAGCCTGGCACCAAGCACTTGCGCACCTTGCCGCCCAGGCACTGGCTATTCCCATGTTCATTTTGGATTTGCACAAGCGGTGCACCTAAATATCTGAAGTTTAAATCCTTCTGATTCTCTACCCCATCTGAGCCACAACGTTCAGCAAGGTCCCTGAATCCGTGCGATGTGCTTTGCTATGCAGGATGCAGCCATACATAGGCTAGAATGAAACTTCTGATGACTGGTGGCTAGCCTACATCAACCACCTCGGTCCAAGGCCTGGCACATGGTGAACATCCACGGGTTAGGAAACAGAGGCCTTCACGGCTCTTCCGGTGTCCTAAAAACACCCCCAAAGGCCAAATCGACAAGAAAGATTGGCCTGGAAGCCCCAAATATGAGATTCATGGCAGTCTTGATCCAAAAGACTTCTAGCTACTAAAGCTCTTCGGGTTATGTGGTGGTGCTCACAAAGGCCTCCGTCCAAACGGGGCCCAACAGTTGCTGCGAGGTTGTGACCTCTCTGATTCGACCCACAGCCGCCGATGCCGGTCTATCTCCATCGTGCTCAAGAGATCCACAGAAAATGCTCCGCCTTCCACTTCTGCCTCCAAAATCCCACCAAACTCCACGCCTTCCAATGTCTGAGGCTTTTTTGGAGCCTGCGTGATGCAGTGTGAAGAGCATTCTCCGCTATCTGTGCTACGCATGATCTTCAATACTGCACGTCCATGCAGGGACGAACAGAAGGGAACATGGAAGATCAAGACCTTCGTCAAAAGAAATACAACATAGTTGTTCTCCATTGCTGGGACCTTGCGAACCGACAGTGCAAACCAGTACAAGAGGCATCTTGAAAATACGACATGAACGAAGACCAACTGAGTACGAGAAAAGGCGCGGGTTGAGAGGGATTGGCGTCGCGCCAAAAAGGCACACACATTCACGCGGCTCTTGGAAAAAAGATCTAACAAAGAAACTCATTCAGTATCATTCAGTGTGTTCCATCGACCTTAGAATAAGTACGATCCCGGGCCATCCGCTGCAGAGCCATAGCTGCCGTACTGACCACAACTTCTTCGATTCAAGCTAGGCCAAAAGCGTGAAGCAATCTACATCTGGTGGAAGCTCAGCTTTGGAAGTGCGGAATCACAAACTGGGTCTGTGGTTGGCTGGATAGACCACCGGCTTTCCACTGCCTTCCTTCACAGAAGAGCCTGAAACAACCGACACCAAATCAGATCCTCCAATCATCCGTAAAGCCAAATCCGGTGGCCTCCAAGCTTGGGCTTGGCTCCTCTGGCTGCAAGAAGGTGCTGTTCCTTTTTCCACCACCAAAAGTCTGCCCCGGAGAGAAATATGTTCATGATTCCTGGAGAGCCCAAACTGGACGATTCAGATCTAGCAACTCAAATGTCCTTTTGGGCACGGTCATCCTTTCAGCAAACAGAAACGGTGCTGAGGTGCTGATAGGTAGAGTCAAACAATTGCTCCCTTTGGCCAAAAGTAGTCTGGGCCTAATCCCGTTTCACTCAAATCACACGGAGCCTAAAAGCATCCTGCATTTCAATTTGAAGGATCCAGGATAGCACTGGACACTTGCGGATAGCGATCGGGTCTTTGCGTCTGGACGCACTCGGGGTCTGGAAAGCTGGGTATATCCTCTACTCCGTTCCTTGGCGAAGGTCGATTGAGAAGCAAGACTGTGGATGGAGCCGCGCACGTTTGGCTCTTCTCATACCAGTCAAGCCAGTAAACTGTTTGCCTCTTCAGGATGTTCATGCTTTGCGCGTGGCGAACAGTTTTTGACAAATCGGTTTTGACGAATGTGATCCCGACAGCGACGAAGAAATCTGCACCTCCTCTCCACGTAGCAGGGCAAGCAGCTGTTCGCTGAGGCCTCGGGGGCTGAGGGGGAGTGTGTTCTCAGCTCTTTAGGAATTGGTCACAAATTGGCCTCACCTGAGTTCTGATTGCAAACTGCAAATCTGCATCGAAGAACTAAATGGCTCAACTGCCACGAGGCTACAGTAAGTCTTACTACCAAGTGACAACATTCACACATCCTTTGGAAGCGGAAGATATAAACAACTACAACCAACCCAGGCCTCTTAAAAGTGCATCAAATCTGATCCGGATCAGCTTTGGAGCTGTGATCACTTGGCTCTCGGGCCATTGATACTGCCCAGATCGGCAGCCGTCTTTCCAGCCTCCTCAGACAGTGAACCATCAATGTTCCATGTGGAGCCTGTGAAGTTCGTGGTGTGGGGCCACAAAGACAGTCTGGAGCGCCTTCCTGCCACCCTGCCCTCACCACTTTTCCTCCGCCCACCATCGCCAGTGTCCTGGCGGGTATGCACTGAGAGATGGTAGTCTTTGGGTCACCTCTATCGCGATGACATCTATCCACTAGTCACTAGTTGGCAGGGGTTGGACTTTACATCAGGACATGCACAGATGGGTTCCAGGTCTTTGGGGGCCTCGTTCGTAGGTGCTTCAGTCAGCCACAAACTGACAGGTGTGTGGTACAACCAAGAGTCATCAACCATTTGGTCTGGTGCTTGAGGGACTGAATTCTTTTAGCGCACCTGAGACTGTTTCAATCAATCAAGCGAGCGAAAGCGAGCTAGCAGTCCGCCCTTCCGTCCATCAATCAATTCATCAACCGCGTTTTAGTTTTGATGCTTAAATCCTACAGGAAAACGACTCAGTCCCAAGATTTGAACCCGTTGCAAATGGCAATACTGTAATCCTAGTTGTAAGTGTTGCTTTGGATTGAAGAAATCCTTAAAGGACTATAAACGCCCTGTCCGTCAGCCGACCTGATTCGAAGAAGCTCCTGCTCCACCTGCATGACTCCCCAGTCAACCGCGCGACGACTCGAACAAGTCAAAAAAGGCATCCACGACCTTGTATGTGGTCTCTATCCATGCTCTTATGCTTTTAAGGCCCTAGGAACTTTGATTGTTCAATAGGTGTAGGACAGTCTTGATCCAAAACTGGGTGCCTATCTTCTCTAGGTCTTGAACGGGATTCGACAGTGTTCCTTTTGGTAAATGTGTCAGTGGCAGTTGCCAAAGCTGCTTGATCAGCGTGGTACAATGAATCAGTTTGCTTATGTCGAGCAGAGTATAAACAACCTACCTACAACTTCTGCTAGCAACCACCTGCTGACGTTGCGTCAGCATCTTCCCATCAAGCCTGCTCCAAGATCTGCGTCTCATTTGCTTCGAGGCCCCGTTTTAGGGCCAAGCTGGGCTCATGCAGCAGACGCTGGAGGCTCCTGAGGTCAAGGCTTCCCAAGATGCCCTGAGCTTTTGGTAAAGAATCAAGAAGGGAATGGAAGACATATGTGTGTCCTTTTTAGAGGTATGCCCTCACTCATCGGAAATGGCTCAAGACTCCCGACAAGGATTTCAAAGAAATTGTCCTTTGACTATCCAATGCTTTGCTTGTTGCTGGTTGCAAGCGCTTAGGCCTGAAAGATTCATTGAAGTCATGGCCGTACAATACGGTGCGCTCCCTCTTCAGAGCACAACAGCACCAGACAAAGAGGACTCAAAAGAGTGCTCACTAAGTGTCTTCCTTTTCAGCAAGCCTTGTCAAACAGACATGAAAGTCTTGTTTGTTTGGGGGGAGGACCCGAAGTTCGCAGACTTTGACCAGGATAACCGCGAACAATGAAATCCTGGAATCATCCGTGACTTGCTCATTCTACCGTGCCCGTTGTCTCACAACGCCTTATGGTTGATGCTATGTGTCCTTCCTCATCGTTTGAGCTGTTAACGAATCGGAACCCAACTACAATCCTGGATGAGAAGAAACAACAAGAAGGAAAAACTTCAACTTCATTCAACTCGATATGCATTATGCAGTATGATGCACTATTCACAATAAGAACACCGAAAACCGACTCCCCCGGATGATCCCACCTCCGCGCGTGGCGCCGCTGCTCTGGCGCGCAGTTGTCCATGGCGCTCTCCAGGAGCCGTGAAGCCGAGGCACGGAGGTGAGCCACACGGGCACCGTGCCTCACAGGGTCGGCTCATGAACGGGTGCAGGATGCCTGGTGGAGGATGGTGCGGCTCATAGGTGGTTCATGAGAGTGCCTTTTGCTGGATCTTTTGGGAGATTGTTCGCAAAGGCCCAAAACAAAACTGGAAATCCCTGCGTGAGCTTCGTAACCTTGGTGAGCTCCGTGCATGTTCTCGTCTCTGAAGGGAAAATCTTGCTATCCAAATCCCCGGATCCCACCATGCTCGGTGATGCGCCTGAAGCCTTCGAGCTTCGCCATGCACTTTGTCACCTTCTCTTCAACGAGCCGCTCTGCTACCGCTGCTGCTTCGCCCCCCCGCGCGACGCCGCGGTCCAAGGCAGCACGGACGGCTTTGCCGGCCTCGTGCGCCGAACGTTTCTCCTATGGGTTTGGCAATTGCCTTGGATCCTGATAGCCAGTTCCAAAATGAGCATGTCTCAAAATGCAGATCCCACAAAACCACGGATTCCGTTCTGTTTCGGTTGTACCATTTGTACCCTTCTCAACTCCATCCGCCTCCAGCGCGATCCGCCACACCAACTGTAGCCGCCGCCCGCATGGCGAGGCTTCGCCCAGCACGTCGGCGTCAGCTGTCACGGCATCTAAGCTGCGCTTCAGCTGCAGCCTGGGCCAAAGAGACTTCGAAGATTGTACTATACAAGAATGAATAAATGAAATGAATAACGCTTATATAGATATATATTTTTTTATATTATTTATATATATATACATTGGTTTTCTCAATGGACATGGTAGTGATGGGTGAGTATCCATCTAGCTTTGGTGAGTGTACCCTTAATCATCTCCAAATACTCTCAAAACACCGCACAAATTTGACCAGCCGACCTCGTTGTCTCAAGATTGGCGCGGAAGACTGTAAACTGGTTCTACAAGGTGGTAGGAAGGTGGGAGGGGGCGGCAAGCAGCACCTAAAGTCACTCCGTTGACAGTCTGTTTACAGGATTCAGAGTCCAAATGAATCCGGAAAGGCTTAAATTGCTTCATGGTGATGCAGCGATGCCTCTGATTGCTCTTGAGGTTGGCTGTTTGGGTCGATAGTTCCAGTCATGTCCAGATTTGAGACGAAGCCAACGTCGCAAAAAAGGTTCGCCTATCCTGAAAAATAGATCTTAGACATTCTTAGACTCGAATAAATAATCAAATGTGGAGCAACCCCAGTTCAGCTGAACAGCAAAAGGCACCAGCCCGAGTAGCATGATATGAGCTTCTCGAGCCGAGCAAGGGTTAAAGGCAGACCTGACAAGTTCGCCGGCTTGTGAGTTCCAGTACCAACACTGACTTTTCCCGGAGGAGGAATGGCTGACATGGAAGGGCATGGTGGTTGGTGGCTTTCGTATGACTGACGTGTCAGAAGGTTGAGCACAAACAATGAAACCAGAATGTTTCCAGACAAGGACAACAGTTTCCCTCCTTGGAACCACCAATCCCACCCCGAACCCGGCCTCAGCCTCCCCTCAAGCGCCACCGCCACCTGGCACGCATAGCGTGCCACGCGGCACCCACCGCTACGGAGCTCCAAGGACCGTGAGAGCTGCACGACCTGGCGACAGTCGGGCTCATATGAATCATTGGGACACTGAATCGGAAAGGGCAAATCGTATAGCGCTCTGCAAAAGTAAGCACTCAAAAGTATCAAAATGCAATGAAATCATCAAATCACCAACAGAGACATATGTAACATATACCCCAAAGGTCCCATCTCCGAAACTCGCAGCCTGACCTCTTCCATCTGTGCCTCTGGAGCCTCCCACGCCACCCTCTCCGCCGCATCGAAACCCTGCAGCGCTCGCCACAACCAAAGGGTCACACCGCCGCGCTCTGCGCGCTCGGCCGCCAGCTGGCGGCCCAGGGCCTCAAGTGCCAAGTCGCTGCCAGCGATGCACATCAGTGGTACCTGTTCTAAAGTTGGGCTACTGGAAGAAGTGACAAGTGTTTCTCTCAAGAAATGAAGATGAAGCTCTGAGAAGTCGAGGTCAAAACCAAATCCAACCTCCAGTTCAACATGCATGGAGTAGAAGACTGAAGCATCTAAGCCATGGCCTCCGCCACATGGGTTGAGAGCTGATGGCCATCAATCGGCTGGGCCAAGGCGAAGTACAAGTCGAAACGCTTGCAGTTTCCCAAGATCGCCACCTCTCAAATTCCCGTCCGCTGATCGTCCGGCAAAAGGCTCTTGTTTCTATTAGCTTCTTGTTACTAGTAGTAAGGCACCTGTTACTACTAGTAAGGCATTTGTTTCTACTAGCAAACATTGTTATCTGGAAAATGTTCTCAAGCTCGGTAGTTTACATTTGTCAATGTGCCAATGTGGTGGAATCCGCAAAGGCGTTTTCGTAGGGAATAGGCTTGACGGTCTGTGAGCTTTCGTTGGTCTCTGTTTCCCGCGACCAACCTGCTTCGTCCGTAGAGCACAATCATCTTTCAAGACTGGTTGGAAGCCATCACTACTAGGGTGCAGGCCATCGCTAGTAGGTTGGAGGCCATCGCTATTAGAAACAAGAAAAAGAAAAGGAATAAAAGTCCAATGTAGTTTTCTAGTGCTAGTAGGTTATTGGTCTTGTAGCTCAAAGACTTCGTCTCAGTCGGATCCCGAAACGGCCCGTGCGCGCAGGGACCTTGCGACCCCACCGGGACGCCCTGCGACGCCGAAACGACGCCGAAAGGACGCCCTCCTCGTTCAGCGGCACCGCAGGCGTCGCGGTGCTCAGCAACCACGAGGCCAAGCGCCGCGTGGCGCGCGGCCGTGGGATGAAGAAATCGTGGCCGTCGCCCAGCACCAGCTCCTTCCAGGTCCAGCAGCTCCTGAAACAGTCAGCATTGGGATTTCTTATCTAGGATCTAGAGGTATCAGCTAAAGCCAACTTTGAGGGATTGACTTGGCTTGCAGAAATCACTTATATATAGGTGTCAAAAGTTGTTGGTGCTGGACCAGAAGAGATTGGAGGCGGTGCTCCTGGCGGCACATGCCCAAACGTGGTCCTTGGGCTTTCGCAAGGTCACCTTTTGCGCGACACAAGTGGCATGCACCCGAAATGGAGCAAACCAGAGGGTAGGTCGTCAATCGGCGTTTCACACGGAAATGTCTGGGGAGGCGAGATCATGTGTTTTCCAACAATCGATGCTTCACGTGTATGTATGTGTGTGAAACACAAAGGTTCCGACATACACGTCTGTAAGCGCTCTTTCGCACCCGTCTCACACGAAGGCTCCACGGAACTGCACACTTAAGTGAGGAGTGCAGGGGACTCAGACCTTAGAAACCACTTCTCTCTTTGAACAGCAGTGCTACAAAGTAACACTGGGAAACAGTCGTGGTTAACATACACACGGACTCGCTGGTTAAGCCATCTTTGACGAACTTGACCTGATCACCCAATGTCTTGAGCGAAAAAGGGCTCACAATCTTGAGCCAACATGGCATCAAGATTGGAGTCTAAACCTTAGCCTTTCAGATCTCAATGTGTCCCTACCCAACCAATCACTCACATTGAAAGACAAGTATGTATGTGTGTATATATATATATATGTGTGTGTGTGCGTGTGCGATTGAAACAAGTGTTCCATATTTCACCGCAGCTGGGTCCTGGTCTATGTAAAGATCCTGTCCCCAGTTGGGGGAACTCTACCTTTCGTCTTGTGTGCCTTGCAACCATGCATATGAACTGCACAAATCAAATAAGCTCTGCCCCTGAAGCACCAACGCGTCATCTCTGAATGTGAGAACGTAAAATAGCCCTGGATCTGTATCTCAAAATGCATGAAACCATATGAAATCGGGTGCAGTTGGGTGGTTCCATCTAGTGCCTGTTCTTAGATGTTTGATAGAAGCTACGAGCTGAATCGTTGACGATAGTCCTCCCAATCAATCACAACACAAAAATGATAAGGCTTAAAGCAGCCTGTGAATCCCATCAGGAAATTAGGACTGTCCTTGCACATGCCCAAAAGACCGAAGTGCGCTATCCCTTTGTTGTTTCCGCGATAATTCATGTCCATGTGGTCAGTAGCCTACAGCCGTGTTGCAGCTCGGTTCATCAAATAGATTTGGGACCTGAAACCAACAGGTGGGAGTCGCCCCCTCTGCCAACTGCCTCGTCAACTCCATGCTATACCCAGTCGCCACATGCATGTCAGCCACTTGCGCAGGCTGCTGACGGCTGCGCCTCAGTCAGGTACAGCTGCGGGAATCACACCAGGGAACTTGTAGGCTGCTCAGGTGCAAAGGCTTTCCTCACACAGGACGCACCCTGTCAGGCAAAAAGACTTTGTGGTTCAGGGACATGATATATACTTAGAAGTGAAACCATACCATCCAGTTGTCCATCATCAACAACCGTCGCATGCAACTAACCCGTTGGCCTTGCGGGCTCCCATCAAGAACAGTATCACCGCAGACTATCTAACAAAACCGGTCCAGTGAAGGAACTGATGACTACCTTTTTTATGTGCCTTTATTATCCGTTATTTGGATCTGGAAAATAAGGCGTGATGGTCGAGCCACTGTGTAAGAGCCAAATGTCGCACTAATCTATCCCAAACTGCTTCTTCCGCAGAAAAGGACCGGCCGACCTCATGTCAAGGGGCACTGATAAACAGGCCCACATTGCTACCCAAAGCCAGCAATGCCTGGACGCTGTCTGCCAAGAAACAGAGTGCCTGCCACCATGAGAAGGCTGAAGGGCTATGTAGCGGCTACATGCTACATAGGGAGACCCAAGCTCTTGGCTGCACTACCCTCAATGATCAGCTCCTACTTAAATCGAACCGCGCTCTTGCTCAAGCTTCCAAGGTGGCCAACTGACATCGAGCAGACTCTCAACTCATGCACTGATCAAGTGTGGGTAGCGACGGATGATGCAAATGAACAAAGGTGGCCAGGCGATTGACACCTGTCGTCATGACAAACGTTACCTTTTGGGTGCGGGGACCATGTTTCTGGATACGACCAGAATCTCTTTCCTCCCTGCGTGCCTGAAGTACGACCGTCGGCTGCTCATACCAGTTGGTGCTCACGATGCTTTTAATACTTAGGAGTATGTGAGGGTTTCGCCTGCCACAATCATTCGGTAAGAATTATGCAGATGATTTTTCCGAAGAAAATCACCGCAGGCCTTCTTCACCCTTCCTATATGGTTCACTCGCGTGGCTTCAGCCATGCCTGACCGGCACAAGTAACATTTCAATCCAAATGGCAAAGTATCTACCCACAAAACAAACTTCGGGCTTCCCTGCTCTTTTGAAGATCTTGAAGCTGGAACCCCGGCGCAAGCTCTTCAAACTATTTGCCTTTGCATCAATACTCTGCTTTGCGAGGCTTGGCTCATGGCTTCGATTGGGGGCTCGATTGGCTGGAAGCTTTTTAGAGAACTCTTACCTGTGTTTCGGGGCGAAGTCCAAGCAGTCTGGGCTGCTCAACTGAAGAAACCATAAAGGCAGAAATCCGCGGGACTTGGTGTCCTTTCGGATGATATTTAATGAATGCACTAGCTTACGGAGCAACAGACTGAGTCTTTACGGCATCTCAGAAACATGTGGCTGTGAGTTAAAACAACCCCAAACCGTGTGAGGTTGACCTGCCTGGTAGAGGTAGAAGACTCTGTTCATTTTGGTGTTCACCGGTTCAAAAAGCAAACTCTGTCGGCAAGCTGATGCAGTACAAACCATCGTTCGTTACTTACGGCCATCTCTATACTACAGAGTTGAAGTGTTGAATCAAGTGACACCAAAGTTGAATTCTTGAATACAATAGACAATAGCTAGTTGCATGCAGTAATTAATCAAGTTTACTCACATTCTGAGCTGCACCAGTTTTCCTTACTGTGCCGCACCGTTCGTGGGATTGGCGTTCTGAAGTGTTTTTCAGCCTTGGTGTTGTGAGGTTTTGGTTTGCTGCGTGCCACGGTGTTCAGCCTCCATGTGGCGGGCGCATTTGTTCGCAACTGCCAGGGTACCCAAAGGATGTCTTTAAGGGCTCTCAGGTGGTGCCTTTGGGAGCCGTCAGACGTCGGGGTCAGGTACCCAACAAACAACCAAAGAAATGGAGGGATGGGCTCACGCTCTCTTGAAGAAGTCCACCTCTGGCAGTTGCGTCGATTTGATTGTGTGGAATCAGTCAATTCATGAAGCCCAATTCAAAGTTACAAAAGTGCGGCAATCAAGCCAATACTTTCAGAAGCCATGAAGCCCTATCCTTTAGGTAAAACTAGTCTATACACTCATAATGTTCATTCCATTGGCCTCCTTGCTTGGGCCACGCAATCTGCTATCGGATGAGTGCGAACGTCACATGAGCGCTCACATGCTTTGTGGCGCAAATCCCCGCAGCCTCCGCTTTGGCTCGCTCTCCATGGGCTCATGAACCGGTCGGAACCGGTCGGAAACCGGTCAGTGAGGACCGAAAAAGGAGGACGCCGGAAAGGTGTCGGAAACAGATGGTCGAAGACATGCCGGACATGGGCGGATGGTATGTTGGGAAAGACATTCTATCCTGAAAGCTGGATTAGCTGGGAAAAGGATGTAGGATGTACCTGGATTGTTTCCTACATCTTTTGGAGTTTGGATGTTCATCGGTCCAATGGTATCCTTCCAGGACGGGAAAAAACAATCATGCACTGTAGTGTTCGTGTAAAATCTTCAGCTTCGATGTGGGCCACTGGTTCAAACAAACCTGTTGGAGTCCTAGCATCAGACGCGGTGAATCATGGGTGTTTGACGTTGTTTATTCGGGTGCTTGATCTGAAGGCTGTAGGCAAGAAGTTCAAGGTTGAGGCACCTGGCCAGTCTGCAGGGAAGTGGTTGTGACAAATTGAAAAGCACCTGCTGTTCATATTGGAAAGCCCAAATCCTCCCTCTGACATAGCTAACAGTTAGCTAACATCTGTTGATCTGTGTATTTCTCCAGCCGCTGATCTGCTGCCGGGAGGTTCCCACTATCAACTCCTGAACAATCAGACTAGATCTGGGTCGACCCCCTTGGGATGCTCGACCCTGATGCCAAGAAAAGGACATTCAACCCCTTGTGACCGCGGATTGGATGGGGATAGGCTTGAGTAGATCTCCGTCCTCCTCCCCATCCAACCAATTCTACCTGGAAGTGAGCCATCCCAGGGCCGTCTCCGCTTGGAAACCGGACCGACTGTAGTGTGAGATCTGCTTTGGATTCCACCAGCAGTCTGGACACAGGGTCGTTTCAGCTGCAGCCAGGGGTGCTTTAGAAGAATGTGTTGTCTATTTGTTGAAGGGGGCTGCTTACTGATTTCTCCGACAATGTAGGGATGTTGTCCATACAGCGTGTCTCCTATTTCTTGCAACAAGCACTCTACACAATGTTTTTTGTTGTTTAACCACGTGGAAACATGTTGTACAGCTCAACACAAAATGTGTTGCGGAACCTAACACAAAATGTGTCCTACATATGTGCCAGGTGTTGCCACATAATGCCTCATGTGTTGTTTTCCGGCGTGGAGGCCATGCTGTGTCATTCAACACAGTCAGGTTCAGCCATTGAAAGTAATTCAGGGCTAGCTGCGTTTCTGGAAAACCTTGCTTTCCTCCAAGGAGGCAGAGTGAGTGCCCATGTTTGGTGAACAAACCGGACGAACCTCCTCCTTTTCGCAGAGGAAAATGACTGACAAGCAGTAGAAGTCGTCCCCCTATATATATATACATAATATATATATATATATTATTGTTTTCAAACTCTCAAATACGTAGGAACCTGTTCTATATCTTGCTATGCTTTTGTTCCTTTCATCCACCAAGATCTGTCAAACGATCTCACGACGATCGGCGACCCCCACAGCGCCACAGTGGTGCCTGAGGACCTCCGAGCGTCTCTGTCTCGCCGCCAAGTGCAGAGCGCTGAAGCCCTGCTTGTCCTGGCGGACCACCGAGAGCACACCTCCAAATTACCAGCGAAGTCTCTCTCTCTCTCTCTCTCTCTCCGTGTGAGTCCTTTCTACTTTGAAAAAAAGAACACACAATAGTTGAGTGACTAAACTAAAGCCCTCTGCGACGAAGGTAACAAAGCTTGGAATCGTTCACATGCAGCTCTTCTCGATTGGCCAATTGTTTCATTCGTGGCGCACTACGACGAATACGCTCTTTCTCGGCAATGAGTGGTTGATCTCAATTGGAGATTTGGATCTCCCAAGTAGGTGGCCTTCATCAAGGTTTGGGAAACTTCATCAGGAGTTGGTCCAGGGATTTGAGAAGCTTAGGTAGTTCGACCTGGTCAATTGGTTATATAGCTACTATTGTTCATAGCGGCTGTCAACGAATTCAAAAAGCAACAAAGAAGCTGTCTTCCCAACAAGCATCAAATGCAATTTCCCAAAACCGGGTTTGCATCCTTCGTGTTGATGGGTTCAAAAAAGACCAAGCGTTTGCAGAGACACCTGAGCTGAGGTAAGAAGCATGGTAGTGAGAACCAAGCCTTAAGCCCAACTACAAGCAGGCAGTGACCTTTGTTGCAAACCCTTGATTGGACTGTGCGGTGGAAGACCCACATGTGCGGCGGCATTTACTTGGTAATAAACTCAAATACACTATCTATTATGTGGGGGCCCTATCTCGTTTAGACTACTTAAGTAGGAGGTCATTCATGTCACAGTATCTCGTTCAGACTACGTTAGTAGCAAATCACACTATCTCGTTCAGATTTAGTGTCATCAAACAAAAGTATATCGTTTATGTGGGGGCCCTATCTCGTTCACAAGCGAATACTGATGATAGACAAGCAAATAGAGCATGCCGTAAACTACTTTAGTAAAGCCGTAAAGCCTAAATAAATGTGGTTGCTCACATAGAAATGCTGCGACATGAACTCACAAAAGTTTTCAGCGACAAACCATTGCAACCTCCAAATACGAAGCGCATGCGAACATCGAAACTTTCAAAACAACCGACTCCACAACTCCGCGCATGTTCAACGGAATCGAACCCCGTCGGTCCTGCCGCTGCAGGTCAGCCTTGGCGGCCAGCACTTTCTGCGTGAGGCTCAGGTTCCCCCGGTGAGCCACCTACGCAAAGATCAGGAAGGGTCAATTTGGCAAATGTGGACGCTGCAAGGAAAGTCAGAGTTGACTCTTTGGTAAAGCCACTTCGAAGCTTGATCCTTTTTGAAAAGGAGATGAGTCACTTCAAGCAATCTTGGCTGGAAGACGCTCAGCTGCCTCTCCCGATCCATCCGAATCCATCCACCCCTCCTCATGCAGTAAGGTTCGGCCCTCTCCCCAGTGCCTGGGATGGAAGATCCAAGTGCTGAAAAATGAAGCAAACCAACGGTAGACCGTGGTACACCTGCTTTCAAGCCTTTGGAAGATTCCATTTGCCTCGATTGCTGTCAAAATCATAGCTTTGTATCTTAACAAATCTTAGGTGACCTTGACCTTGGTCACGTTGTCTGAAAAGGGAAAAAACACACAATCCTTTGCACCATCCATTGAAGTAGAGAGTCCGCCGGCTCAGAGGGATTGTCCCTTTACACTGCTTGGAAATCAACCATATTGAATGCCAAAGCCACCTGAAACCTTGAGTATTAGGTTGGGCTCCCCAGAATCTTGAGGCTGAAAACGAATATGTGCATCTCCAACTGTTGACAACATGTTGACCGCACGTCCCCCATGGACCCCCAATAAGGACCTGCTCTCGCCCCAAGTCTTCAAAGGCCCACTACTGCACTTAAATTCCTGTCTGCACAAGCCAGATAGGAGTGGTTTCCCAAGTTGTTCTATCCAACACGAGCAAGAGCTGTTTTTTTCAAAACCAAAGGGGCCTGATGCCTGAATCCCACCCGGCTTGGGCATCCTGGCAGGTTTCCCAGGTTGACATCCGCCCTTGCCTGCGGAAAAATGCAGGCCATCAGAGTGGTACGTCGTGAGAGGAGCATGACTCATAACATGACAGTATCTTCAACAAACACTCTCGGGTCTTGCTGCAGGTGTGACATGGAAGTCCCACACCATCGAAGAACCCGAGAAAAAAGAGGGCACCACCTGAAGAAGTTGCTGGCCAGCGGCCAGACATCTGTCAACTATCCCATCTGTTACGTCGTCACCTATCCCATGCGCAATCCACCATCCCAAGTGAAACCAACTGAGGCCTTCAAGAGCAAGTCAATGGTGTCAAGATGCCTCAAAGCCCGTTGTTTCGTCCCAGCCAGACCACGTTGGTGATTGACATGCAGCTCACGTCAGGCGAGGTCCTAAAGTGACGTGACTCTGTAGATGTTCTCCCTGCATGTTCCTACCAACTTCCCGATATGGTTGACAACCTCAGCATTCTCAAAGGCCTTTGCATTGTCGCAAGAATCTGGCGAGAGGAAGTCTCTCGTTCCTCCGTGAGTTTGATTCATGGCAGACTGCTTGACAAGTGTGTCAAGGTGCTTTTGGTAGAGAACGACCTCCGGCCCTGAAACAGGCATGTCCCGGATGGAAGAAACTTCGGCGCACCCTGAAAGATTCCCATCCTTGTCCGTTTGACCCCTAAGAGTCCCTGGCACAGTTGACAGATTTTCGCCCTGGCGTTGAGCGTGAGTGGAGGTCTTGGGGTGTTCCTTCGGCGGGTCCTACAGTTCCAAAAGGCAGAGAACGAATAAAAGAAGTCCTCAGCGATCATCCAGTCGATATTTCTTTCGAGGCAAGTCAGCTGAGCTTGCCAGCAGAACCCTATCCAAGAAATTCACACCTTGATCCTCTCTGAAAAAGGATGCTTGGTAGGCATAGCTGGATACCATTACGAGTAAGTAGCGAGCGAAAGATCCTCGCTTGAACAGGAATGAAAATTCAGAGCTCCCCTGCAACCACTAGGGTCACTAGAGCAAAAATAGAGAACTGCTGGCTCAGCTAGAACCTGCACGGCGCTGTCCAGAACATGAATCAAGGTACAAACAAATCTACCTTGTCCCAAAGGCCAAGTAAGTACAATAGTGGTCACTGGTGCAAGTCCTCTACACTTCCACGCCCTGCCTTCAGCATCACACCTTCCTCCTTTCCGTCTATCAGAACAGGCCAGCGCTCCACCCTCGCACGCTGCCATGTCAATGTGAGTTCTGTGTGTAACATCTTCTCTCTCTTAGAAACAATTAGCTACTAGGAACAAGTGCATCGCTTCTAGTAACAAGTGCCTTACTAGTAGTAACAAGAAGCTATTAGAAACAATAAGCTACTAGGAGCATCTTCTCTCTCTCCGGGTCTTCCCCTTTCGTGTCGCATCGCGTCTCCGTCTCTGCTCCCCCGACCGGTACTCGCTGCCCGTGGCCGAAGGCCCGATGATACTGCCATAGCAGCCATTCCACTCAGGCCTGGCGAGGACCGGGTCAGTCCTCGAAATGGGCGTCGGCAATGTACTGTCGGCTCCAAAGGAGAGTCTCATGTTGGTTGGAACAAGGTACGCAAAGATGAAACTCCGACCGGGTTCGTTAAAGCTTTCCTCCATGGTCCAACTCACATGATACTTGGGCTCAATGTGCTATTGAACAAAGGATTCACAGTTGAAGAATAAGTACCTCTGCCAAGAGCCATTATCACGATATCAATTTCCAAAACTTGCTTTTCTTCCACAAAAGGCTCCCGGAGCTTCTCAACAGTTACCGACGTCCCAGCTTCACTGCTCATTGTCGTGCACATTCCGTTCCGTTTCGTCCTTCGCCCTTTCCGTTTTGAAGGCCTGCTCTGCAGTCCCTCCACACGTACGCCTGAAGCCACCTGGACAGAATTGTGAGATTGCAAGACGTGAACAGCAGGTTGACAAGCCATGACACCCTCCAAAGGTTCGATATGGAACCACAAAGCCTTAACCTAATCAAATCCTCAGGCTTCTGAATGTTAATCCCCAAAGACTGCCTCCAAATCATGCTCCTCGAGGGCCTGAACACAAAGATGGAGCCTCAGAAAGAAAGACGAGAATCCGAAACGGGCAACTGTTTGGGCCGAGAATCGAAACGGAAGCGGAGTCGAGCTGTGAAGGGTCTACCGCTTATGACTCATGTCCTACCCCTTCCGCAAGAAGCGTGATTTGGAACGGGAGCATAGGTGCGCTTGCTCCTCGGTGCTTCTGCTTGTGTGCCATCGGCCAGCATGTTCATGTGCACCCTTTGCTTGCCAATGCCAAAATAGGTTTATGAAACCGCAGGTTGGGAAGCCTTAGGAAATCTTAAGAAGTGCGATGACCTTCTCAAGCTCTAAAGGTCTCCTCCGAAGGCTCCAAGTGACGGAGTCATCTGCTTGCCGTCGCCCACATTGATGGCTGCCCGCGCCTGACACCCGAGCGGTCCGCCGAGAGCTGTCCTTCCGTTCGCACCTGGCTGAGCAAGAAGAAGAACAGGAAGTAAGGTCTCACAAGTTGGACTCACCAAAAATGCCCCAAGGAAGTTGGTTCCAAATCCGAATCCGCACACAAGGAAGTTGCTTCCAGCCAGAACGACACAAGGCCCCGGAAACCTTTTGGAGATTTGTGGAAGGACTGGACCATCGAGGATAGACTCAAGGGCATGGAGCTTTCGAGGGAAACCAAGAAAGACCGACCGGTTGAGATCGGTTCTTTTTGGAAGCATGGTTGTGGACACAGGGTGCGTGGGGATGTTTGGCAGTTACTCTTGTGGTGTCTTTCTTCAGGGATGGCACTGGGAACATGAAGGTAAAGGTGCTTGGGGTTGTTGCTCCTTGCCATTGAGTGGCGGATTCGGGGACCGTGGATGCGTGTAGATGAGTTGGACCGGCCAGGTCATCTAAACATGGGATCGTTCGGGTGGAACATCATGTGTCCAAGACGTCCCAACCGAACATGGATCTTTCAGACGGAATGTTGGTCTTTGGAGCTCGTAAGCTGACAGGTGTCGTATGCAGGGTCTGCTCTAACGTTGCTTGGATGTGCCTCTTCCCAACCCAGCTAGGCTGCACCTCGACCAAAAGCTTCGCTAGAATGAAGTTGCTCTGCCTCAAAAAGCCAAACACACGCATTCGGAATACATCGAAGATGCAATCCTGTCAAAACAGCAAAAGAGTTTCTATAAACACATATTCTACAACTCTGCATTTGAGTACAACTCTAAGCACAACAGTGGGTGACCTGAATCGATGGCACAGACCCTTTTGCCCAAACCGTCTGGAACCAGTCCGGCAAGGTCCACAGTGCAACCTTCTGGTGCCTATGTCTTTCAGGGTTGTTGTACATCAAGACTAAAATAAACTCCCAAGCATGTTGTGGTTTCATGTGTTTTCTATTCTGTCGGCCAATAATCCCAAGACTCAAACAACTCTTCCGCTCATTCTCTCTGGACGTCATAACCATTTCTCCTTCCATCATGCAAGTCGTCCAAACCTTTGCCTTGACCAAACCTGAGGAACCCGGCAACGCTGCATAATGAAGTGCCGTGCGGTGTTGGTCGGGCGTCTCCTGCATGGCGAATGGCTGCTCTACACATTGTGGATGAGAGGTTAAAGGATCTCTATTCGTGCTTTGCACGTGATTTGCACAAAGCCCTGCAGATTTACTCCATGTCGAAAAGTTGTATTAGCGCTAGAGCCGCTAGAGTTTTGGTTTTTCTGAACCCGATACCCAAACGAGACATGCCTTGCAAGCTTCATGCCAAAAAGGACTCCACTGTCGGACTTCCGTAGCATCAAATCCAATTCTCGGTTCGGTCCCTTGGTCTGTTTCAGATCCGCCTCCTGGCTGCTCACATTGTAGCGGGGATCACGGTCCAGGTCGACATCCTTGGAAATCCACACAGGTGCCGCGAACGAAATGAGGGTGGCTGATCCCTGGTGACCTCATGAGGAGCACTACAGACTATAAACGGTTCGGAAGCACCAGAATGCCAAAGGAAAAGGAGCAGTTGAAAACGTGCCTTCTTTGAGCTGGCAAACAGAAGGACAAGAATGCCCCTGAAGTCATGAATGCAGGGATGTTTCCAGGTGCAAAGGCAAAGTCAGCACTGAGTCCAGGTCCTTCACATGAACATCTGCCTGAGAGGAACACCGATCTTGCTCTGCAAAGGACCGGACAGAGACTAGTACTGTCCCATGGAGGGCTGGTGGTGGTGATGAATTGGAGAACAAGACAAACACAAACGGGACGCTGGAAACTCATTGAAGGGGCGGAAGAAAAAGTCGTCTTTGACTCCGGACTCCGTTGGTTCAAATCCCAAGCACGAAGATGAAGCACGATTAAGAACGAAGGACGAACGAAGGACGAACGAAGGACGAGTTGGAAACGGAAATCAACCTTAAACGAATCGACCTCCGTATGTCCAAGTAGATAGTCTGATAGTCTCATGATGTCCAATATCTCTTGATGGCGCTTGTCTATCGGGGGATCACTCAGAAATATTGGATCTGATTGCAAATTAGAGTTGAAGGAGCCATTTCACCCATGTCTCTCCCCTTTCAGAGTTTCAAGTCACCTGCCTGAGCAGCCAGAAGCAGCCGAACTGTCCTGGTGAGATCTCAGACAATGCCCAACAACGGTGTGGTTCAAATGGTCATCTATGACTGCTAGGGCAAATGGTCATCTATGGATCTTGAAACAATAGGTGCTGAGTTCATCTATGGTCCCTCGCTCCTCAACAGCTCCATGCATTTCTGAATCTGAGCATGCAAAACAGTGACCCAGCAGCCATTCCGGCCGACACTTGACCCCTTGACATCTTTCGCTGGGTTTGGAGGAGCAAAATTACCAGGATTGCATTCGCCAACCTGTTTAGGCGTTCTTCCCACTTGGCAAATCTATAGATATGTGGTTTTTGAGAAAGGGTGAAATTTCTCAGACCCAAGATCGGCCTCAGGTCCCCAGTGAGGGTGGCCAAGTGCAGCGGGCTGCGCCGCCTCATCGGATCGTCCAGAATTCAAACAACTTGAGAGTCATGTGGGTGCAAGCACCTTTTTTTCTTGGCGCAGTGGGAGTTGGGAGCCTGGCTCCAGGAGCAAAACAAATCGCCACCAGCCACTCCAAGGCTGAAAATGATTGCTTCGGCTCGGATGAAAAATCATTGGATCTTCCCTGTGATGTTGGATGATGTTGGACGATGTTCATATGGTTTGCCACCTGTCGACTGTGAGCAAGTGCTGTAAAGGGATGGGACTAGCGGTGTATACGTGGCCAGTTTCATTCAATGGAAAGTGGGAAGGGTTCTACAGTTAAAGGAGTTCTCACCCGGCCAATGATCCCTGCTTCGAGAAGTGTCAACTACCTTCCTCAAAGGATCGTCTGGAGGGAAATCATCTCTACGAACGTTCCGCTTCCTCTCATCCTAGTCTTTGGAGCTAAGAACTCACAGCCACTTTCAATGGATCATTCGCTCGAAGTTCACCACATCCGTCTCTCGCTGGGTGGTTTCTGAGCACCCAGGCTCCAGGGACCCAACAGAACGGTTGGCCGGATCAACAGTTGCTTGATGAACCGTTACGTAGCTGACACTGGATATCTGAACAGAACATGTAGTTAGGTTCTCAGAGAACTTTGGAAAGTAAGAACAAATCAACACGTCAACAGCTCCGACAATCTCAAGACCCCAAGAACTCTCTTTCACCTCTTCTGTCCTTTTGTCTCAAATGAGCTCCCAGGCGCATGGTTCTCCACATTCACAGCGCACCTGGCAGCCAGTGGCAGTTGTGGATCTTCAAGCGCGAAGAAAACAAGTAGTGGTGATTCTCCGCTTCTATTTACTTGGGAAAAGGTGTCCTCTCGACTGTTGTCTGGATAGTTTCTGAATCTTTGATTGAGCATTTCTCAGACTCAATGCGTCTAAAAGCCTTATTCAAGGAAGCGTTGTTGGTTTACTCAGCATCAAGTCCATGTCCCAAAGAAAGCCGAGTAGAAAGGGCGTTGGCCAAGCTAAGGAAGTTCTCCCTTGATCACGTTACAATCATCAGCATCCTGCTGCTTGCGACAGACGCCTCAAAGGTCGTCAAGAATGTTACAGCGTAGAGTATGAACTCAGAAGCACTTGGGGAGGCTTCTCAATCAATCCCGTCCATGGCCCAGGCTAAAGACCAGTGATGCTAAAGGTTTTCAAGAGTCAATGGAGGCCCCTTGAGCCTGGAACACTTTGAGTCTTTAACTCTGAGCACAGGCATGTCGGAGTGAACTAGGCCAGTCATTTGGTCTAAGCCTCTGATGAAGTTGCTCAAGGTCCAAGCAACAACAAATCCGCTACAGTATTGAATGGTGATAAAGAACGTCGAGATGGTATCCTTGGACTCTCGACAGATTCCCCCTTCTCATCACCATGGCATCTCTTGAGCCTCCAATCCTGAGAAGTTTGGTTGTACTTCTTTGGGTTGCTCTTCCATGTCTCAAGACACAGAAACTGGAAAGCAATGCAAGGAGGATCGTCTCATTCTTATCAAAGCAGCCCAAACCCAGGTCCAAACCTTCACCGTCCATGCCCGGGCGCCTAGCGTCCAGCAAGGCTTGCAAGCCTTCAGGCCACGCGCACGCATGGTGGAGGGCCGACCTGAGTCCGACCACCACGGCGGTGAACGAACACTTTCGTGTTAGACAAAACAGTTTGGGTACATTGTTGGGTGGGACAAAACACTTTCTTAGATTCACGGAGTTGGGAAAGGCTTCTGCTGCCCGCGGCAACTCAGCACCGGCGATCAACACCTGACCATTGGTCAACACGTGGCTTGGTCTTAGTAGCCGAGACTTCGGATCTGAACTGGAGAAGTACCAAGCCTTTCCCAGCGGAGATTCCAAGGCCGGTGTCAATTGAAATCCAGTACCCACCAAACACATGAGATAAAGGACAGTCGCCCCGCAAACATCTGCAAATCATGTTTCTGGTTGCATTCTGACATCCATGTCCAAAAAGGGCCTGCTAAAACCCTCAAACCTTGGCACTAAAATGTGCAAACTGCCGTTCCGTCGCGACAGGACTGGTCTTTGACATTGAAACTGGCTACTTGGAAGGCCTGGCAGCTCAAGTCTAGGCCCCTTGAAAGAAAGTAAACGTCCTGTACAGACCGCTTGTGCGGTCTATGTCGGCCCCCACAACCTGGATGTCTACACCACTCTCTGCCAGGCCACTCGCCATTGGAGTTTGTAGCATCCAGGTCAAGCTCCACCACCCCATTTTTGATCTGCCTCAGAGTGTCTGGAGTTTTTCTCTCCCTTAATCCCTTCAATAATGTCTCAGGTGACTACTCTACTGGTTAAAACATGACCTGGAAGGCTTCTTGACAGGTCTCAGTGCTTCCCTCTTTGTTTGTTGCAAACATCAGGTCAAAAAGGAATGAAAAGCCTCCGGCCTTTTGGGGGGCGATGTCTACGTCATTCATGTACTAGGAGGAATCATCCATTCACCAAATGCCGTGAAGATCCCAAAGCCAGCAAGCTGCCGAAACGGCTTCGACACTGGTGTTTTGACCGGGCTTTTCCGATATCCGGGGGGTCAGCGGTGGCTGATTCAGCGGTCAGGCTTCGAACCCTTGAAGCTGATGGTGTTTGGATCGACAAACACCCAATCCAAACCGACCAAGTGGGGAATAGCACCGGTCCAAATGCACAGAATTTCACTGAGCGATTCACTTTTTGGGGTAGTTCTTTGTCACTGTTTCAGTGCAATTCCCTTTTCACACGGCTCAACAAACCACACAGCCCACCACTACTCTGAAAATGGGAGCTGCTGCAATCGTAAGATTGCAGACATGATGTTGAGCCACTGCCCCTCCTCACATAATTCTAGGACTCTAGTATCAACCTCTTTGACGAGTGGGTGATGATGTTCTTGCATCGGCCCTGTCTTTAGAAAAGGCGAGGAATCCCTCGAAACAAGGAACCACTGAATATGACAGGCTTGGAGCTTTCAACGGTAGCGAGCTATGCTTCCCAGAAGAGAAAAGTATCATGTCGCCTCCGTTATAATGCCCCCTAAGGTTCCACCCTCTTTTCCCTGAGAAAAAAGAACTCTGAACCCCTACAATCGATGCCCTCAACGCATACTGGGGCCCCAGCGCGATCGCCTCCTTCACATGTTCAAGCTTCCGCTCAGCCACGGCCTGGTACTGTTTTGCCCTACAGCCCTAACCGAACCAACCCCATCACCAGGAGACCTGAGGCACTCAGATGAAATGTCCACTTAAGCAGCTTAGCAAATCCGCTGGAAGCCCCGTCCATATATATATATAGTTTTGTCGTACTAATACTCAAACAGCCTCTCCAAACTCTTCTATAGTCTATAGCTTTCGAGGCGACAACTATGACAGTGAAACCCTTTCAGCTCTGTGGATGAAACCAGGTGATCGCGGCCATTCATGTGCCCCTTATATATATTGGATCATTCAACATGACATAAGCCCCACTTCCTCAACCATCAAGCAGGCCTTGTGCAGAATTAGCGGCAGCGCGCCAAGCGCAACTCGGACCGCCTGTGAGATCGAGAGACGTGTGCATTTGAACCGGAAGTTACAGTAGTCAGGCGTTGGACAGATTTGGTTCAGTTTGCCCTCTACCATGCCCCAAAAAGGAGACGTTGCTTCTGGAGCCCCTCGACTCGTGTCCCAAGTGATGCCCCCATGCCTCATCGCTACAAAGGTCCAGTGGACGATCGCCGCCAAGGTCTGCTTTATTGGGGTCCTTGGTCGTGAGACGGACATGGAGAGACAGTGAATAGTGAAGCCTTCCCCTTCCTGGGGAACTCTGTGGCCAGTAATAGACTGCCGTAGTACACTACCATAAGAAACTAGGAGAGTAGAGCGCAGTGGCTTCTGCTCTTTCTCCAAACATTTTTCATTGTGCCCTTCTTGCACAAGTTCTTTGGAGGTCTGGGAACAAACAGGATCCATTTTGAGCGGCTTCTCCTTTAGAGATTTGTTCAAAAGGACTCAACTGTTCGTCGCTGTACTGGGACGCTACCCTGCCGGGTACTTGTTCAAGAATGGAGACAAGTCAGAAACAATTCGAGCAGCTAGCACCTAGTCAAGCCTGTGACCAGCCCACCACTCAAAGCACCGAAAACAAAGAACAGAACATAAACCCCTGTTTATATACCGCTTGAATGTAGCTAAACGGCTAAACTAATGCGTTCACCATCTTCCACCCACCCCACCACCCCACCAACCACCAAACCACCTCCCTAGCCCCCTTTTCCTTGGGCTCTCCGGACCCCTTTGTCCTTTAAGATCAGCTTCACGCACTCCACACGGCGATCCACCGGGCCCTGGTGCTGCACCGATCTGAGGCGGACGTCTAAACGTCCCTGTCGAGCTTCTGGTGAGTCGAACTAGTCTCCTCATACGATTCTCATGAACCAGAACCACCAGAACCTGGAATCCTCAAGTTGTGCCGTTATAACTTTTAGGTTATTAAGGGCAAAATCTCTTGAAGCGTTGAAGCTCCTAAGGCTTTGTCAACGAGCAAGCTTAGCAGGATGAATAGGCTGTATGGCATCAAGCAGGCATTGATCTTCCACGTACAGATAGCAGAAAATTGCGAGAAACTAGCCACCGGGTCAACGCAGAGTGGAAAGACCAACACGGCAGCACAACTGTACGGCATGCTTTGGTTGTTCTATGTGTCCGTCAAAATCTTGTAGAAGAAACAGAGTGGAATGGATACCCCAGCGATGTGGGTGAATGAGTATTTGTCGAGGTCCAATGCTCTGGTACAAAGACATTTGTCGAGTTCGGCCCAAGAAGTTCGACCTCATTCCAGCTGTCCATGGGCATACTTGTTGTGTCAATGTTCTTTCTGCGAGGTCAGGGACACAAAAGCGAAACATAAGTAGGGTTCCTAGAGTGTAAAGCTGTTGAGTCGCCCACCTGTGAATGATGACGGACTTCGCGTTTCACACTTCCCCCAGGCTCCATGCTCTGTGCTCCGCACCCTACCCAGCGCAGCGGCATGCAGTGGCGTGGAGCCCCTTAGCCTGAAGACAACACCGTCTCAGACAGAAAAACCACCATGTTTTTAGCAAACGTCAAAGGAGCCCCTGTCTTTCACTGTTCCAGCGATCTCTTGCGAGCCACCGTCTTTCACCTGGAGCTTCTTGATGATGGTCTACACCATACCCGTCTAACCTCACCGGTTGAGTGGTTCCAGAATCTGAGAGCCCACACCGGTTGGCTGCATTGGGATCTGCCTTCGCCACCAGAAGCACCTGCAATGCCCAAGAAAGCACTGGTGCAAAACAGATGCATATGAAGAAGAAGAAGAAGAAAGCAACACTGTGTCTACTTCTTTCAGCTCCAAAAACCCGCCTTAGCCGCCTCGATACTGCCCCACATGGTGGCAATGTGAAGTGCCGTCTGCCCCACCCTGGCAAGAGGAACTGGAGTCAAAAAATACCGTTGGTCCAAGAGAAACTGGCTGGTGCTTCGCTGGGAATCAAAGGAATGACCACGTTTAGAATCATGAGAAGGAACCCCTCAGCCTCATTCCCTGCTGAGCATCACCCAGTACTGGGCAAGCTCGACCTCGCCCATCCACAGAAGGATTTCCCTTCGCACGCAATCCCCCTTCATCAGCCCAGAGTTTGCCGACCTGTTGGCATAGCCCACAGGCGCCCCCATCTCTAAGAGCCGCAAGATCCCTGCAGCATCGTTGTCCCGCGCCAGGGTCCTTGCTCAACGGGCTCCAGCGATGAATTGGTTGCATGGACCTGCTGGGCTTATCCCACGAACAGCTGGTTACCAGGCTTGGGGCGCACTGGCGCGATGGCGATCTCACTTGCACAAGGGTTGAACAGGGCTTCCAATTGACCCCTCCATCTGGTGCCACTTCGCTGTTGGAGCTTGCAGACTGCACGCTGAGAACGACTGGGTGCCAGGCAGGATCTCATCGAAGGCTGCAGCGGCTGCAGCCCTGCCGTTGTGAATGGACAACTAAGAGAGCTGGCGTTGCGTTATGCGTAAGGCTGCCAGGGTGGTTTTGGATGAGGGGAGCAATCTGAGAAAGGGATAAGCAAGCTTGGGTACAGGTGTAAAAATGAAGGTAAAAAGTCCGTCGCAGGCTGGATTTGGTCTTGACAACACACATACAGCAGAAACGAAGAACCTGTTGAAAACCTTAGCCGTAGCCTCTCAACGTTTCCAAGGAGTGGGGAACGACGCAACCTGCCAACATGAACTCGTCAATCTATACAGTTTCAGCTGGGCTGAACCTGATCCTCGTCTTCTTGGTTGGGTATAACAGACTTGGGTAGGTGGATGGAATTGCAGAAAGTATAGGAACAAAGGAACACCATCCCTTCAATGCCAGGGGCCACAGCCGCAAATCAACACAGGATTTACTCAGTAGTCCCGAGACCAAAAAGAACTCTGGCAGTGCCACGGGCCAGTTGTGAATTTTCAGGGGGTGGAAAAGTAAGACAATCTTGTTCCACCTGAATCTTCCTGAAGATTCAGTCTGCTTTGTTGGCAACATTTGGCAACTTGTCCGGCTCGACTGGGAGAATTGGCTATGACAACTCCAAGAACTGCAGAATCAACTCAGCGGTCTCAATGACGTCTGGGACCCCCGAGCGACTGGGAATTTTGCCTTGGAAGCTCACGTCGTAGCGAAGGGTTCGGGCCAGAAACGGCACAGATTTGTGGCTCTTGAACGGTGTCTGCTTCGTTTGACACCTCAAGTTGCCCTTGCAGCTCTTGGGCAAAGAACTGAGGCCTCGTGCTGCTTGCACATATTATGTCTCTATGGGACTCCTTGTGGGATGAAAACCTTGGAAGACCTCGCGTTCCCAAAGGAGCGCACATGTCCTGACATGTTGGATAGAGTGGCCTCCAGAAGAGCGGCAGTCGCAAACATGAAAACAATGGTCTGGTTGGGAAGCCCAAATGGTTCGGAGAAACCAAGCTCATCTCTCAGAGGGGCAGTTGGAAGAAGGCGCTGCTGGTGCAGGATTGTTTGCCCATGAGCCATTGTTGCCAAGAGGGGGCTTTCCACAAAGCTCCGTATCTCTCCTCTAGACTCTAGACTATCATTTCCGATGTTGATTGCAGCCTTGGATGTGATTCTCTTGACAAGCCTCATTCTATTGTGTCAGCTGGAAAGATGTCTAGCTTCGTACGCAGTCCACAGAAACTCTGCCAAACTTGGCTCAAGGATGTAGAAAATGTCTAAAACCATCATAATTAATGTACTCCCGAGGGATTTGCACCCCTAGCTTCCTCCGAGGTGCCCTCGGGAAAACATTGCTCACATGGACAGAAGCGCGGCCAGGGTATTCGGTGACAATTCCAGTAAATGCACATTAGCACATTGACAACTCAATCAAAGCAATGTCTGTGAGAATGAGGTAATTCCATTTCAAGCAGTGTCTAAGTGTACCATTTCGCTATTGGCTGAAATGCTATTGGTCAATTGAAAACTGGAAGACAATGGTGTCCAATCAGCGAAGTTTGGATCAGAGGAAGCATCGGTTGTCTCTATGCTCTCCGCATTGGCCTGTTGGACCTTGAAGCGGCGAGGTGGCAAGAGACACAGTCGAGTCACTCATTTCCTCCCAAATAAACTTCATATCCACCGGTAGTCTATCTCATCTATCTCGCAAAGGTAGCCTTTTCAAGGGTGCATACACTAATTGAATTGGCGCCTCGAGCGAATCCGGAAGCCACAAAGGTTTTGCAGCCTTGCAGATAAAGGAATCGGTATGTGTCGACATGAGTTCCATGTCTTCTTCCGATGACCAGGTGGAGAAGTTTCCAAGTGGGGATCAAGGGTAAGTTGACGTAGCACCTGATCTTAGTGGTAAAACCTAACCCATCTGGCTTTTGTTCGCAAAACCACAAGGAGTCTTGAAAGTTGGGCTGCTTTGCTGGCGCGATTGCGGGTGGGCCGATGGACAGAGGCAGACGTTCGCACCTTGGACCATCAAAGCTCTTGGCTCAGTCTTCCCCAAGTACAAGCAGGGTCGCCCAACGTCGGGTTCGAGAGATGTCCGCATTTGCCATGTCATTCCATCACCCTCCTGTACGAGACCTCAGCAGGCCCAAGTCACTCTGATGTCAGGACATCTCGACGGGGCGGGACACACGGCCTTTCCCCGCAACGGCGCGCAAGCAATGATCGGCTGGCCAGGTGCTGGTCAAAATGGCATCATCCCATATCGTGACATGTCGTTGTTGGATAGCGGATAGCGTGACCCTGACTTGCTCGGATTTATATAAACTTGTGCGAAAATATCTAACCGCAACCATTTCTTGGAGCATCCAATTCCGTCAGGTATACACCTTGTGTGAATGGAGACCTGCCACAAAGCCTATTGTACCTGCTTTAGCCAGGCATTTCTCAGCATATCCTGCTAGGCTCGTGTCCCTTGTGAAGGCCACATCCTTCTCAATCTTCACACGAGAAGTGGGTCGCTGAGGGACAAAAGATTCTAATCTATGAAGCGACCGCCCTAAAAATAGCACTATTGGCGTTCAAATATCTTGCTAGGAAGTGAGTAGAATGGTACAGTGACACGTAGGTAACATGTATAAATACATTGCTGAAGATATTCGATTGCAACTTCCAAAAGCTTGGGTCCTCTTGTCTGACCGGCGGACCAGCACCCTCGCACGATTTGCAAGTCTTGGACTGCATCGTGCATGTGTAAGGGACAACTCTAAGACGGAAAGGACGTGGGTTCGGTGTCTCTTTGCACAATAAACCTCGCGTTGCAGACTTCCACAATCCATCCATCAAGCCGTCAAGGAATGTTGGAGCTGACCTAGGAGCCCTCCAACAAATACAAAAAAGCATTGGTTGATCACCAGTGTGAACGAGAAGTCATTCCGACATCATCAAACCCATCGTATTGGCTGGCTCTTCACGAGACTCTAGCAGCAGGACAGAGGCGAGAAGGTCTGCTTCTTGGTCTCGGCGGAAAGGCTCGGTAGCACAAAAGGACGGCAAAAGAACAACACAAACGGGAAAGTAGAGCGCTTGTCAGCTTTCCCATACTATTCTAAGGTTGAGAGGCTTGAGAAAAAGGAGCACGCACACACACACACACATCCATCGTGAACTGTTGCTGATCTATCAGAAGCTCAAATGAGTGGCCAAGCATTCAAGGGTTGTGAACAGAAACAAGCCAAGAACCCGAGCCAACATTTGCTCTTCTGGCAAGAACCCGAGCTGACTCTACCTCCAGTATTGCCCACCAAAAGCCAGTACAGAGAAACCTATACAGCCTATCTCACATGCAAAGCCACCTCCGCTGAAGCTGAGTGCCCGAACCCCTCGTGCGCCATGGCAAACCACTTTGGGCGCGGTGTACTCGGGTGCCGGTCGCATCCCAGCCACCATCCTGGGCTCCGAGGCTCTGAAGGGAGAAGGACGGAAAGTAGGTTCTAAGTTCAAACCTTCTGGTTTTGCCTGCTTAACTAATGTTCGCGCCTAATTACTGCCTACCTAATTAAATAAGGGAGAAGTAAGCTACTAGCTACTGGAAGCAGGAAAGCTCACGCTCAATCGCTCAATTCATGTGTGCCAAATGGACTTGGGGTAGTTCCTCTATGCCTGTGGAGGAACAACGTGAGCTTTGGAAGAATGCTCAGAGCCTTGGTTACACACAGCAAATGTATCTGAAGTGGGACAACAGCCCTGTACTGCACAGTCCACCAAAGCCTGACTCTTACCTTCATCCGAGCGGCTGATCCAAGGCCTTTCGCTGCAGCTCGTTCTTTCGCATGTCCATGACCTCTCGGTGTCTCCGGAATGTGGCGGGCGCAAACATCTTTCTTCTTTTTTGGGGTTGACCGACAGGAAACGCTGCGACAGTGTTTTGGAGAATCTGGGAGAGATCGGTTTCACATCGCATCATCCAGCACCATTGTCACCGTCATCAGTCACCATGTGTCATGGATGTCTCAGCAAGGCATATGCAATCCCTCTTGATGGCGGTGCTTCCCACAAAGTGAAGTCACTAAGGAATTGAATTAATTCCAACTTCATCTTGTGTTGACGACTAGTTATGTCTAAGAATCAAGCGACTTAGCGACGTTTCTTCCAGATTCCAAAGTAGAAAATGTCTTGGACGTCCCCAAAGCCACACCCTGGAAGCCCTCCTCCCAAGCCGCCTGCTGGTAGGCTTGCTTGCACTCAGCGTCTGCCTCCATCCGGTCGGTGAAGCTCATCCTGAGACCGCCATGGGCTTCAAAGACTCAGACGCCAATTGATGGGGTTCAGTGTCAGCGTCAGTCCCATGTTTCTCCATCTTCCCTTTACACTGCCATACTCGCAACAAAGATCCACCCGGTTGAGGGACTTATTGTACAACTAGGTTAGTAAGCCGCTGGCTGACGGATCTCGAAGTTCTCAAGCCCACACAACGCCGGCATCTAGTTCATTTGCTTGATTCATAGATCGATCGAACCTGCACTGCCCGAAGTGTTTGGAGCTGGATGCACTTCCTCAAACCAGGAAACAACTTGCTGGTCAACACAGGAGCGCTGAAGATGGGAAGTCTGGCCGGATCACGAATCTGGACATCCGGTCTTTCTGACATCCTGTTGGGCTTCCCCACGTGCAACGCTTCCTGCGGGCATCTGTAAGCTGCCTCATCGGGTGCCGATTTCCAGTGGCAGCATGGGATGCTAACACGTGATTCAAAGTCGGCAAACCCCCAAACTGTTAGGAATTGGTCATTTTCAGCCAGACACGCGCGCCCACCGCCCACCACACGAACGATGATTCCCCACTCACTACTCGTTGCGTAGTAGCTTGCCATCCACATATCCTGCTCAGAAAGTCCGAGGTGGCTCCAACCTTCCCTTTCCCATGGTGGGGAATGGTCACAAGCCTCAATGAATCTGTCAGGCTGATAGGGTCGAAAGGCTGAGTACTAGGAAGATTAAAGCAACAGCCATCTGAGGTCTCGTAGGTCTTGAATATTCGCCCACACTCGGCTCTTCATTGGTTTTTGTTCTTATTCCACTTGGGAGGGCGGTCTTGGAGTCACAGCGTTCAAACCGACTTGGCCCAATTGTAAGCTTGAGCGGCTGTTTCTCGAACTTCAGCTCGTCTGCTGTGATCCCTGGATGGCTGTGCCGCATCAAATCTTGGATAGACGGTATCAAGTATGGGGCATCCACCCAGCTTTGTGAAGAAATGCATTGTGGCTTGCGTGGATTCGTCATATGCAAGCTTCGAAACCATCGGGTAAAATAACGAAAACCTGTGCAAGGTGATCATCCTAGAGTCCCAGAGATTGAAGTGCGCACATGTCATCTTTACCAGTTGAGCGGTCACTATTCTTATGTGGAAGTGAGCTCAATCATTGGATGCAAAGCCTTCCGTGTCAAAAGAATGCTGGACAAACTTGCTCAAAATGCTGCATCCCCATGCCAGAAAAGTGGTAAAAGCAAAGTGAAATCAATTGAAGTCTGGTGCTTTGAAGCGCAAAACTGAAGAATGAACAAAACACACCACATGTCCTAGTGACTCAGTGTTCGTAAAGCTCAGGGTAATTCAAGGTGGTATTCAGTCAAACTCCCAAAGCATACAAAGACAAGTTGCTCCTGAGCTCGTATGCGTGCTTTTTGTCCTATGCATTACATATCACTCTTCCGGTATTCAAGTTGCGCACCTGGATTCAAGAAGGAGCTATCAACCTGGGCGTGGCTGGAGATGACCATGACCGGCATCGACTATGACACCTGTCCCTTCTATGACCACCCACTTTCCAATGGAATTTACTACCAACATGGAATCTTCCTTTGGTGCAGCAGAAGGTTTATCTCGTCGTGTTGAAGTAAGGACAAAAGGTGGTTGCCATGGGCTTCTCCCGTTTCCGAGACTACTGTACCTTCTAGCGTCGCATCTTTGACTCACTTCCAAAGCCATGTATGCCTTGTGTGTTTCCAAGTTTCGTGGTGGGTTTCCTTATAACGAGTCTTCTTCCAGAGCGCTCAGCAGGAGTTGACAGCCTTGTTTTATCTTCCAAGTTGGATGAACATGACCCACCACACCCACCAGCTGAAGACCTCACACCCCCGCAAGTTCTCTTCAGCATGAGTTTGGCAAATCTCAAAGACAGAAGCCGGAAATAGATCATTCGTGCTGAGTTCATGCTCTGCCCAACTTGACAAGCAAGCCCCCCAAAAAAGTATCAGTACTGTAGTACCGCAAGCATCACCGTCTGGATGAAGAACTTGAACCTACTCTCCAAAACCTCCCAAGCTCCAGCCCGAACCAACAGCTCTTGGGCTCCTGACATAAGCTTTGATGCTGGCGGTTCGAACCTCGGAGCCCGCCATCGACTGTCGAACCCCTTGTTGCGGCAACCAAAGGGCCCTATTGAACGAATCAAAGGCCCCCAGGCCCCAGGCAGAGTCCATGGACATCTTTCCTCCTCGGAGTTTTTCTTCCGTCCAACAAAGGTCGCACCAAGCGTCAAGGCTTGAGCCAACAGGTTGACAAAAGAGGAAGAAGAAGAAGAAGGGGGAGCCGATGGTGAACGATGGAGGCAAAATCAGAAAGAAGTGGAGACAAACGTGTCTTCTTGAAAGGGTCTGACAAATCTGCCGAATGATACAGCTAGATCTACTTGAGTAACGCTGCTGCCCTGTGGAAAAATTCCTGGTCAAAACATACCAACTCACTTGTGTTCATCCCCTGGGGCCTTCCAGTAACTCTCAACTCCAAGGAGGCAACACACGACTCTCTCGTCGCAAAAGGCCCTTATTTCTACTTGCACAGCTGAGGGAGATCAAGAGCTGCCTGGAGCGGAAGGGATCAGGCCGAGGGTGGACTTTGGCAACCAGGTCTTTTTTGAAGGATTGAAAGGCAACACACACGTGAAACAAGGCGGATTCTCCCCACCTCAGTCGCTGACATGACAAGATTGATCACAACCTATGGCAGGCGAGCAGCGTGCAACCATGAACATGGGTAGCCAATTCAAATGGCTCTTCTCTTCCACGGCAGTGAGTGTCCTGAGTCTTTACCTGAATGTAACAGTGGCGTTACTGCTCTCGGCACAAATGACAATGCCATAGCTATGGTTTTCAAGTAATGACAACTTCGACTTGGCAAGGCCTCATGCACAAAGCTCACAAAACTCTTTCTATAGAAAGAATTCGCTAAGGTTGTTCAGGATCCAGTTATATATAAGTAAGTTATAAGCTGGACTTTCAGCATCTTCAACAAGTTTATAAGGCCCGCAAGTGCACACAGACTTAAGTCTGAGTTGATTTCACGTCCACCCACATTAGCGTTGGATTGGACTCTCCAAAACCTGATGCCCTTCCCTGCTCGAAAAGCCTCTGCTGATCCAAGATGCTGGGCCAAGATTGGCTCTCGCATGGCCTCGTGACAGGTGCGATTCTATATCATTGGCCCAAAGTGGATGGCATAACATGAATACCAAATCTACGGAGAAAAAAGAACTTCGATTCCGACACAAAACTAGGAATCTCCTGAAATTGTTGAAATGACAGGCAACACCATACTTTGGCATCTGGATCCGCAGCTGTTGCACCACCCCTTCCCACTCACTAGCCTCATCGGCCATTCTTTGGGACCTGCCTGGCTGCGCTTCGAAGGTTGGGAGTTCTAGTCAGCATCCCAAAAAGCAAACAGTTCACTAAATTGTAGACTTTAAGATGTCAGGATGCCTTTGTCCGGACACAAAAACGTTTGCTGTTCGGACTGCGTTGACCTTCGTATGATCGTATGTTTCTCCAAAATGGGTCGAGACACAAGCCCAACATTGGAGGGCAGGTTGAAAAACAGGGTTTGTATGATTCCTTTTCACACGGAGGGAAATTTCACTCACCCTCACCAATTGACGTGACTGACACTGAAGTACCTGAAGCCAGAAGAGCGGCGAGCAACTTCTTCTGCACAAGGCTGGGCAGCTTCAACCTAGCCGAACAAACGAACATGGCTGCCCTCCAGAGCGAGAAAAAGAGACTTCTGCAGATGAACTGTGTCTGCCCTGATGAAATCACTCACCCGAACCCGTGCTCCTCCTGCAGTACAACCTTCAAAACCTTTTACCTTTTCCGCTCATGCAAGAGTTTCTCCTTGTGTTTCCTTGCCACCGCTAAAGCTGCCTCTTAGCAGCAAAACTGCTTTTGGAACAAGGCTGCATCTGGCCGTGAACATCGGAAGCATCGGAACTGCTCCGGATCTAGCCAGCTTTAAAGCCGAGCAGTTGACAGCAGTTGTACTACAACCGCGGATTAAAAAACAGCTCTCAGCCCAAGAAGAAACAAATAGTTTCAAGCTCCAAGCAAAAGGAAGCCTACGGCTGCTGAGCCAACAGGATTGGTGCAGTGCCAAGCAACAGCGAGGAGAGTCCCGCCAACCCCAACGCCACCCAAAAAATGCCGGTTCTCCTCAATGGCGCGACGACCACGTCGGAACCACCTTTGGACGAAGGATGTCTGGCTCCTTGCAGTGTCTTGATTCCTGGCCTTGGTGAGCAGCTGGGAGAGAAGGTCGAAAGTTGCCTTGTTGTTGCGAGCATTTCCGGCGCTCTCCCTTTCGCAGTTTCTGATGGCATAGACATGGTTGGTCAAAGCAGACCTCTTGATTCCACGGACTGCCTTGTCCAGTTCTTTGCACGGGTCATCCTGCTGACACTCCATGAGGAACTTGTCGCAATGAGTAGCAGCCACGACGTAGGGAAACTCCACTGTGCCTCCGGGAGCATTCTTCAAGACCCGAGCCATCTTCTCCAAGTAGGTCCTCATCTCATCAGCTTGATCTCGCCAGTGGCAGAGTGAGATCACCAAGATCATAGCATGGGGAGGGGCCCCAACCCAGCTCAACTCATCTCTTGCCAAATCCAGCCGGCGAGCCCCATCATGTACGCTGCTTGACAGCAATGTTTGAAGCGTGCGAATCGTGTCAGCATTCATGGTGGAAAAAGCAGGGGTATCGATGAAAGTCATTCTGGATGAGGAGCCAACTTCAATTGAAACTCTCTTTGCTTCGATAGTCCTCTCTTCAGCACCAGCAGGTGCTGTGTCCAATTCGTCGTTCAGAGACAAATCACCACGAAGGCAGCGGCGAACATGATTCACGAACGAAGACTTCCCGTGGTGCTGCGGGCCAAGGACTAGAACCTCCGGGTGTTTTTTCTTGCTTTCCATGAAAGCGCAAAGGTCTTGACGATCGAACGTCCAAGCCCTCTCTCTAAGGTCATTCTTTGACTCCTCGTCTGAAAGCTCACCCTCCCAAGTGACCTGACACTCCGCTGACTCACTTTCACCCCCTTCAGACTTGGCCTTCAAGCTGATCTTGACTACCCAAGCTTGTGCTTTAGGCAGATCGCCAGGATGAAGAACGTGTTTTGCAGCGCCACACACTTCATGGACACTTGATTTGGTGGGACTGTCCCTAATGATAGGCCCTTCAAATGGATAGTAACAGATCCGCAGCTCGAAGAGAGAAGCTCTGCTGTCAGTGGATCTCCAAGTGATCACCAGGCTTTTGTCTTTCCGCACAATCACCTCAAGGTCAGTGGGCTTGGCTGGTGGCTTCAGCACAAACTCCGGATGTATGGCCATGCTTCTGACGCAACTACAACTTGGATGATTTACTGCACTGGGCCAAGGCGTCTGCGGTGGGTTGCAGTAGTAACAGCGAATGCAAACATGTCTCAGCTGACCAAATGGCATGGATCAAATGAATCAAGAAACACTCTGTCGCAACTTCAAACCCACTTCTCGGTGTCTCTCAAAATCTTCCCATTTTGCGGCCTCTCCGAAAAAGATCCACTGGACGGCCTGGCAGCTTGCAAGGGTCCTTGTGTGATGGGCGCATCTGAAATGCATTGCTGCATTGGCGGGTTTCGATGTGAGCTGGAAGTTACAAAGGCCCAACTAAGCTAGTCGACCTACCCGTGCAAGCCGCTGCCAGTCGCATTTTCCTCGCAGGCGCACGCATACAAGCTTTTGGCGGCAGAGGTACTACAACTGCCACAGCAAAGTCCAGGATTCTGGCCATGTGGGTCCAGTTGATTGAAACTTCCGACCCAGAGGCACATCTTGCAGCCTTATATAAGTGCAAGAAGAACTGACTCATGACAGGCTTCTATGTCATTGCAGATCTTGCCAGCAACACTTCATCCGCTCTTGGATGCCTTGCCATTGCTTTCCAAGCCACCTGACTATGGGTCGGATCATCCTTGTCATCCTTGTCCACACATTGGCCTTGGGATTTTTGAGAGGCTTCTTATCCAATATACACCAGCTTCCCATCATGATGCGACCTCTTGATAGTGACATGTCCAAAGCACAGGTCTCCTCCTCTTCGGTTCGGTCGCGAATTTGGGGAAATGCTGCTGGCTCTGCCTCTTTGACTTTCTGCCTCTTTGTCTCTGCCTCTTTTTCTTTGACTTCCTTGCTGTCCCCGAAAGCCTCCTGACATCTCCTGACCATCGTTTGGATGGTCGTCCAGCATCGCCCAAGCAGGCTGCTTGGCCGGGCAACATCCTTGTCCGCATCATCGGCCTTGGGATTTTCGGGAGGGAATGATTGGCTTTCCAATATCAATATTTTTTCCACCATGATGCGACCTCCTGACAGTGACAGTGACATGTCCAAAGCACGGGTCTCCTCCTCTTCAGTTCGGTCGCGACTTTGGGGGAATACTGCTGGCTCTGCCTCTTTGACTTTCTGCACTTCCTGCACAGGCTTTGATGCACCTCGAAGGGTCCGACTGGAACCAGGAGCACACAAGTGGCGCACTGCGGTACCCACGATGACAATGAGAGCCACGCCAAGAACGAAGCAGCCACGGTGACCAGGCTGCCGAGTTGATGGCCTTCGGCGTTCTCCGGCCTGCCACGCATGAGGTTGGTTCACCTCTTCACACAAGCTGCAAATATGTGCAGACTCGACATCAGCTTCAGGGTTGAAGTCCGTCCACGTTTCAGGGACTGTCGAATCTGGCAAAAAGTCACCGAAAACGCTTTGCAAGGCAGGTGGGTGATGGTTCCAGCCCTCTTGGGCTGCTTTTGTTGTGGGACAAATCACAAAGCGCATATTGCTGAGACCTGCTTTCTCCCTCAACATCTGGCACAGCTTCACATTGTTCGGGCAATGCTCCTCATCAAACCACAAATAGCTGGAGTTCGCCGTCGCCAGCAACAGCACCGAGAACAGCACCTCGTCGTCATGATCCGTCTTCGCTAGCTTCCGGCTGAGCGTCTGCTTGTCTAAGGCTTCCTGCTCGGAATAGTGAACCAACTCCACCTGAACAACATCAGCCGAGAGCATGTACGAGCCATCTGAGGAATCGGTGTGTTTTGCTCCATCCCTAGGTCATATGAGGGTTGCATATGAGCTCCGAAACCTCAAGGCCCTACCAAATTGTCTGTGCTTAACATGAGTGGCAGCTCAAAAAGAGAGAACCAACTGCTACAGTAAAAGAAAAAGAAATTGCTGCACCACACCCGGGGCACCCTTCTTTCAATCCACACTCACCGGTGGCAGTTGGCTCAACCGTAGGCAAACTCTTGTCCAGACCCTCCTGAATTCTGACGAGCCACATGTCCTTGCAAGCCGCGGCCATAACCAGCCAGTGCAGCTTTGCTCCTGAGAAACCAGTGTGAGACAAGACAACTCTGACAATCTCCATCCCACTCTAGCAACCTCAATCAACTGATTCACAGCAGGCTTGACTGTTTAAATCACTAGGCACTAGACTAGGCACTGAAAGTCAGTTATATAGCTTGAAAGTCAAGAGGTGCCAGCAACACTGGAGGAGAAAGCTGAACAGTCCCTCCCTTTGTGCAAGGTTTGAAGAGGTTTGCGTGTCTTCAAACACGCCCTCCAATCCCAGGCACGTCGAGAACAACAACTGCCGTGGCATCGTGGCAGAGCTGCGTTGAACTTCGTGAAAATAATGGGAGTAGGAATTCGGTTCTAAAGTGCAGCATGTACAGTAGATGTCTTTCGGCTGTCCCATAAGTGGATGTCTTTGCATGAAGTTGACGTTGAGAATGGCTTTATATTTGGCTCGCTCGCAAGACCGTGCAACACTCCTTGCTGACCTGGGAAATGGCCACAGCAAAAGGCGAGCATTCTCTCAGCATTCCGTGTGAACTCTCCACAACTCACAGCACTTCGAGCCCTGACTTCTTATGGGATGAAAATCAAAAAACTCCTCCGTACATAGTCGTCTTGTCACCATCTGTCCCAATGACTGTACTCCCCAATCTTTCAGACTGTCAGATGCACATTTCGCACATCTCTAAGTGAAGAGGCTAACTGTGCAGCAGAAAACTGGCCAAGATCCACCTCTCACACTTACCCACCAGTGGAGCAATCAAGCCTTGGTAACAAGTTCAAGGCCATATGTTGCCATGCAAAGCAAACAGATCGCCTGCTGACACTTTAGGCATCTGGAACAGTTGTGCCTGCCAACATGCGAGCACATGTCCGCAGGACACACCACAAAGAACGAGTCGAAGGGTCAATTGGGGTGCATTGACTTGCAGGGCCCATGCTGCTCAATCAAAGTACCCTACCAGGGCCCCTTACGCAACAAACTTGAATCAATTTAAAAAGCTGTTCCTCCATGAATTCCGACTCTAGTTGGGATGTCAATTCAATCAGGCCTCATTCAGTTTCGCGGTTCCACTTAACTTTGGGACGCAGTCAATTTCTGTGGCCCTCCTCTTTGCTTCCAGCTGAGGTTCTCTATCACTAAGTCTTATATAGAAAAACCTTGTCCTTTAAAAAACTGGACGATGCTGGTTCAGAAAGCATTGTGGGCACCGAGCAAGCGCGCTTGATGAGGTGCTCTGCGTCATGTATATCTGAATCTTGTAGTATCCCAAAAAGCGTGAACACCAAAACTAAACTACTGATGTTGAAAACATTAAAGCTTCAAGGGAACGAAGAACAGAACGGCCTGAAAGGACATATCCTGCAGCTGTAACCTGCTCAGCATTGTCTAACGTGAACCTGGCGCAGCGCTTCAAATTCAGGTGGAATCAGTGGCTTCACATTGTAAGCAACCTATGAAAGCCAAGTATGCTCCAAGGTGTTGATGAGTGGCCAGTCCAAAAAAGCAAACAGAAAGTCAAGGCTTCTGGCTGTGGAAAGTTGCGTGATCAGAAAGGCCAATGAATATGAAAAACATGGCAGCATGGCTCACCATGTGCTACTGCACAATGCTGAAGAATATCCCCGGCGCAAGAGCTGAAGCAGCGCTCATGAGCCTGAGGAGGGGCGCGAAAGATTTTGTACAGGACGCTTTCCCATTGCACAGGATGACAGACTAAGAAATTTGAGAAGTGCACAGGGAAGAAAAGGGATTTGGTCTTCTCTGTGAAACCAGTCCTCATCTTCCCCATATTATCTCTGGCTCCCGACATAAGCTTTGATGCTGGCAGCTCAAACCTCGGAATCAAAAGGCCCTTGAAACCGACCGAAGAGCGGTCTAGAGCGCAGCGAAGGTTCGAACGTCCAGGGTAGTTACGACGATTAACAATCTGATAATCTGCAAAGAAATATATGTGATAAAAATACCTCAAAGTCAATCAGACTGGCACAAAGCCCGGGAAGAATAGCAAAAGAATTGCTCTCTTACAATTCCTCAAAGCAAAAATGAAACATGTGGTCAGCTTTCCACAAACACTGTCGGATTGGCCCTTCTGTCGTGAACCCGATCCATCTAGGCCTCAAGCGGAGTCCATCTTTCGTTGCTCGGCCCAACAACGTCGTGCCAAGCGTCAAGGCTTGAGCCACCAGTTCAAACACACAATTGAAGGAGGTTGAGAGACTAAAACAGGCAATTCTGCACGGGATGTCCAAATGAAACTCTTGTGGTTGCAAGCAAGGCGGATGTTCGAGAAAAACTCGATGCATGCACCTCACTCCTAAAACTCGCCTGCAACTTGCAACTGTTTAGTGATTTGACTGGTTGAAAAACACTCTCAAAACTCCGAGGCACCAATCTGGCTGCGACAAGTGAACCACCCATGGATGAAGTAAGCCTGCTGATGTCGCACATAAAAAGCAAAACCGAAGGTATCCACAGTAAATGCGAGACGTGCACCCGTGCACCCAATGTAAACCACATGGTTCGTAGTGTCTCGATTCGATTCGCAACTTTTCTTGCAGGGCTGTACTACAGCGTCGACTTGCTACCCAGCCCTTCTGCTTTCTGGAGAGCTCTGGAAAGACTCCAGGTCTGGTCATGGCAGTCACCCACTCAGCTCAATCAATCATCACGATATTCATGCAAGAACGACTTGTCAAACACTTGACACCTACTATGTTAACAGCAAACATAGTAATCGGAGAGTCGTGGTAAGATGTGTTTCAACAGGGGTGACCTGAGAAGGTTCAATGATTCCAAGGCAGCAATCTTGATGCAATGAGTCATGAGTTCCTGTGAGACGGAATCTTGCTGTGTAAAGAAGCACCCCTGATCTTATCACAGTCTTGCACGATTCTGCTCCTCACCTTTCTCATGATCAGCCGGTTGCTGGTTAAGCTTATGAACTGGAGCATCGCTATCTTGTTCTTGGGAAGCAGCCTCTGCCAGCAACTCTTTATGCTGATTGAGTTTCAGAATCTCCAGATTGAGTTTCAGAATCTCCACATCCCTCTTGTCTTTCTCGGCCTTAAGCTTCTGGATTTCCACCTCATTCTTCTTTTCCCTGGCCTGGAGCTGCTGCTCAAGCTTCAGGATTTCCACTTCACTCTTGTTTTTCTCAGCCCGCAGCTGCTGCTGAAGATTCTGGATTTCGGCCACACTCTCGTTTTTCTGGGAAGCAGCCTCAGCCTGGAGGTGTTCAATCTGCTGGCCGCGCCTCTGAATTTCTGTAAGCGCAGCTATAACTACAACTGTAGCCGGTAAACGCAAAATGGATGGCCACCACCAGCTTCTAGCAGCCTGCTGCTCTGTGAGCGCATGGGGTTGGATCGCCTCTTTGGCAATCAAGCTGCAAAAGCATTCCGAGTCAAGTTCCTCATCCGCGTTGAAATGGTTCCACACATGCAGCTCAGCTGAATCTGACAAAAATTCACCGAAAACGCTTTGCAAGGCAGGTGGGTGATGGTTCCAGCCCTCTTGGGCTGCTTTTGTTGTGGGACAAATCACAAAGCGCATGTTGCTGCGACCTGCTTTCTCCCTCAACATCTGGCACAGCTTCACATTGTTGGGACAATGCTCCTCATCGAACCACAAATAGCTGGAGTTCGCCGTCGCCAGCAACAGCACCGAGAACAACACCTCATTGTCATCATTGGCTTTTGCTAGCTGTTGGGTGAGCATCTGCTTGTCTAAGGGTTCGTGCTCCGAATAATAGAGCATCTCTGCCTCAGCAGCATTAGCTCAGCATCGCTCTTGCTCAGTAGACTTGCACATCCTTTTGCAATGGGAGACCGGGAGACCTGCTGATACTTGTTTCATACTAGAAACAGGACACATTCCAGATCTGGTCGTAAAGTTCTTACATCGTTACATAAACACTACACCGACACCAACAAACAACCGTCCAATGATGCAAGGCGGTATCTTGACGAGCCACGTTCCTTTCCAAGCTTCGCCCAAAACCAGCCAGCGCAGCTTTGCTCCTGAGATAAAAAAGGTCTTGATGCATCAAAACACCGTTTTCATCTTGCCACCTTTCGTGGATGAACATGTGAGCATGAACTGGGCGTTGGCATGACAAACGACGAGACATGGTGAATCACATTCTTCAGACAACACAAACCAAAAAACGATCTCTCACCACCCCACTCTGCTGATCCCAGCCACGTTGAGAAGAGCAAATGCCGCGGCTCCATACAGGCAACACCGCAATTCTGGGACTAAAAGGATTGATAGAAAAAATAAGATAGAACTTGCATAGAACAATCTTTGACGAGGAATCGTTTCTTGTCTTGCCTTATGGGCTGTCTGCCAACAGTATTTATGTATTGATACCAAATGAAAAATGCACAAAGGTGGAATGGCCGCAAGTTGAAAGAAGAATCTCTCCTGAAATAGCCAACTGACACTTTTTCGACTCTTGAACTTTGAGCACTCTAAGCACAATCCGGAGTCGAAACCCGTCTCATGTCAGTACGAAAGACTGGTCATTGGTTTCTTCCAGTCATGCCCTGCCTCAGACCACATACCTTTTGACTCTATGAGTCACAGCAGGAATGCAACGTAACCGGCGCCGTGTCACAACACCTGTTGAGTCTGCAACCACATCTTATCAAACGAAACATGTGAAACGGACTGTTTTTGAGAACAAACCCAACAATGGCAAATCAAACAAAACAAGCATCCAAACAATCCAAGCAAGTGGTTGTCATTTAGACAAAAGGTACTTGGACCAAATACCGCTGTGGAACAAGAATAGGACAAACACGAAGTGAAACCCGGAGCAACCTGAACGCGGTTGCCGTTGCTACCAGAAAAGGACAGGCACACCAAAATAGACCTGTTGCGCACCACATCAGACAAACTGCACAGCAAGGGGCTAAAGGCAAATTGCCACCATTCTCCGTCTGACAGAGGATGACCCGCAAGTAGGAGAGAACAGAAGGGAGACCCATGAGTCCTAGGTCCAAGAGAAGGAATGTGTCTTCCTTATGTTTGGCGTCGCATGTTTTTGAAAAGAAGACAATTGTTTCGTGGAAAACCTGGGTCACGCATGCAGTTTCAACTGCTATGTTGCATAGATTATAGATTGCTCAGTGTGGACAACGTTCATAGTCTACTTGACTTAGAAAACCTTTTCCCTGATTGCGCCTGTTAGGATCCCGCCTTGCGTCACAAAGAAGAAATGTATCGAAGAAGGAAAAAAACGTGTCAGGTGAAACACAATGCACCACAGTGAAACACTACAAGCGAAGCCTCAATGAAACATCAAACTTGGCGCTCAGTTTGCCTTGCACACGCGAAAGTTTTCCAGCATTTTGCAATCTTGCAGGTGTGGTAACGCGCACGCAAAGCTAATGAATGCCTTTCCCGTATTTCAAGCAATGAGGCACTTGAAGTGTTGCAAGCAGTGCCAGCATTCCCTTCATCTGCTGTCATAGACGTACGAGGCAAGAGGAGATGGGCGATCCACTCACAGTGGAGTACACACAAAAAAGGTTTGCTTCCACAATTGGCATCTCCGCAAAAGAGAAACCACAATCACTGTGCAAACTACGTTTCGTCAGTTGAGTGACGATCGTACGGGTGTAGCCAGCTCATTAGTGGTGTGGACATTGTGGTGTACCACCACCTGATCAAATTCATTGCACCCGCGGAAGCGCCACAGTCTAAGAATGCAGTGTGGGTCTGCGAGCAAACATCTGAGACAGGCATCTGGGGCCAAAGCAGCATGACAGGACCCTCGGGCGCCTGTTTGGGGAAGCGCTTGCCTTGTCGATGAGAAAAAACAAGACTACTAGCAGTTTTTTTTCAGTAGTCACGGTTGTGCATGTGGGCTGTAACGCAACCAATCCTTCAATGGAGAGGAAAAGGTGCTAACGTTAGATTAGCATCAGTGAGGTCATCTGGAATTGTAAACTTCAAAAGGTCCAGAAAATCCAGATCTAATTTGATTTACTATTCGCCCAATCTTCTGAGTTTTGGTTCCATTACTGTATATAGTATTCCAAATCCAGGTTTATAGAATTCAGCTCCAAAAATGCAAGTAACCCTCAGAACAAAAACAACGACTGCAGATTCATTGCAAAATGACAGCAAATGAAAGCAAACGAAAACAACAATTGCCCAGTTTCCAAATGCATAGGTGCTTAATCAAAAACCCTGATAAGTTTCACTTCAACAGGTTTGCAAAAGGTACCCCTTACAAGTGCCAAAAGTCCAGTATAAAAAGAAGGTCCACAATGGGATGTGTTCCTTTACATGTTTTACATGCTCTTGCGAAATGAGAGCAAGTGAAAGCACAATGAAAGCCAGCGAAGCTAAAGTGATAGCAGAATGAAAGCAAATGCAAATATTGCGAAGCAAAGTGCGCTTTTGCAACTCGAGCCTTAAAGCGTCAAGTGTGTACACTTCTTGATTTGTGCGTGTCATGCCGGACTGGCTGCCCTTTCAGGGAAATCTAACACCGTCCCTCCAGTCTGGCATATTTGACACAGCTCTATTCCACGCGCTCGTCCATAGTAGGGACATTTTGCGCAAAAGTGGATCACGTTTCCTTTTGAAACCATTCTGTACTCAGTGGTCTGCTTCAAGAGCTTCAGACCGTATCTCTCAGAGATTT